TAGATTTACCGGTATTTAAGGAACTTGAATCTATTCCTACCGCAAAATACCGAGGGAACATAAGCCTAACAACTTGAAAAGAAACCACAGTTTCATACTCATGATTAACTTATTGGACTCCTACTTCACAGTCTTTCAGTTTTGCTAATCACTTGAATGATTGCAGACGAAATTGAACTCCGCTCATTCTTATTACCAATTACAAGCAATTATCAAATTTCGACAACTACAAAGCAGGATGACCAGTAACTGTCTTATTACAGGTGCCCAATTTCAACCAACTGTCCCATTATACTTTCAGATATTTCAACCCTCCAGAACTGAAGTGATAAGTGTTTCAAGCAGTTTATCCACCAATGGTTTTTAAAAGGAGGATCTTTGATCCTTTTTTTCAGTGACTGATTACACTATATTTTTATAGTTTTTACCAGAACGCAAGTCAAATTAATTTTTAAACATATTCATTTGTTGAATAATCATGCTTCAAATCACTGTTTTCTCTCCAGGCTCACCCATTGTGGGTCAGATGTTTTTCAGAGCAACTCTCTTTACATCCTATTATCAGGCAAGTAGAACAAATTAGTAATGAAATTTATTATGCATTGCTACATTATGTGTCTATACAAGTGCTATTCTATTTTTAAAAAAAGAGAGAATAATAAAAGGGTTTGTACAGTCTTGCACTCTGGAAATAACTTTAATTAAGAGAAAGTGAAGCTGGACCTTCTTTCCATTGATTCTTACAGAGTGAAATGTTTGTCAGCACAATGGATTTCTGATAAAGTTTTTTTGGTCATCAAGAAACTTCAAACAGCATCTTGACTTGAACAATTTGAAGTCAAAGAATGTCATGCCATATACTGGCAGTAATAGTAGTGTGTTACTTGGCTCTTTGATTATATGCTAACTTCAAACCCTTGTGGCTGCAGTCTCTCAAAAGTGTTTTAAAAAGTGTGGGCGAGAAAAGATCCATCCTTTGAATGAACACCTTGAAGAAAGTTGTAGATTAGAAAGGTTGCTTTTTGCTATCTACCACTGCTTTACAGAGACAGGAAATAATGACTATTGTAAGATGTTTTTTATCTGTATAAGGCACATGTAGCACACATAATGAAAAAAAATTCACCAGTCCAATTTATTGATATTTAAGATGACTTTTTTTTTACTCCACAGATAACTGCATTTTTTGCTGGAAAAGATCGTCTTGGTCAGCGCCTCACAGTTCCAGAGTACTTTCTATGTGGTATGTTTACAGGTGCTGTTGCTGCTTTGGTTGAAGGACCCATTGATTTGGTGAGTGTTTATTTCTCATTAAAACTGGATTCAGCTTTGGAAACTTAGTGATAATTAATCTCCAAACTCAATGAAAATAACTAAATGGCAACCACAATTTGTTAATTTTACATAATGATATTGCTTTTTTTTCTCTGAGGCCTTATTTGGGATGATCTTTCATTTGGTGGAAGCATCATATAGTGCTTGAAATTAATGGGTTTTGTATATTCTATATACATTGTTTTTATCCTTTACAGGTGAATGACAAACTCACATAATGACTACCTTACAGTTTAGTTGACCTTCATAGCGCAGTTGGTAAAGGCATTGCACCAATATCCAAAAATAATTAAATATAAATTCAAAGTCCTGTTCTGACCTAAATTTATTCTATCATTATTTAACAACTCTTTAAGTTATCAAAGCAAGTGGGATGATCTAACAGGGTAATTATTGAAACTGATATTTTGCAGGTTAATTGTTTGATTTTCAGATATTCACTCAGATGGTCAGATGTGGGTCATTTATAAAACATCTTGTTTTTTTATTTAAAGATTACCTAACTGAATCCCTTCTTTTCTCAGTGGAGCATAGGTTCATGGAATTTTTGCTGCCTATTGGTCTGTCCAGCCTTACTCAACCCATTGCCCATACTTAGGGACAACCTTGACTCCTCTTTCTTTGAAAGTCCCACCATTGAGACCAGCTACCTTTCCATTCTTTAGATGCTTGATGGCCCTCTAGATCTCTGCTGCACATAGCCTGTACCAACTGACCTGCAAAGTATCTCACTTAGCGGGTAGATCCCTTAAGGGCTCTGCCCAACTTTTTCATACTCTTCTTGATCAGTGACCAACTGTCTGCTTTTGCCTCTGATAGGTCTGTCATCAATCTTTCTAGCACCTGCCAGTGTTCTTGTGATGGAATGTAGCCTTTTTTCCCCCCTTCCACAAAGTTCATTTGGTTGTTCCTGATGTGTCACTGAACCCCCTTGTTGGTGTCAATGTATCAGATACAGCCTCAATTTTTCTGCTGTGGTGCAGTGTCTCCTTCACCTGGCTTTTGTTGTATTCAAAGTCTTATGCTGTTTGCACTTTCTTTCCTAGCATGTCTTGAAAGATCTCCTTTAGTTGTCATGTCCTGTCCCACTTACACATAGGAATATACCTCATCATCCTTATGGCATATTTGTAGCTTATTTTCTTCATGTTAATATCACTCTTCAGCTTCAGGGTGATGGTATTGTGGAGCAACACTGACCCCTCTGTTTTCTCTGACATCGAATAATGACATTGTTGTGAACTTGAAAAATGTTTAGATGTGGTCAATCTACTACATGGTCCTGCCATCATGAGAGACTCAACTCACCTTATGTGCCCTCTGGTGCGGCAAGATGCTTCCTCTAAGTCACAAACTATGCTATCACTACAATTTCTTGAGCCCTTGCTTTCTGGATTTTCTATATCTGCTCCTGTTTGTATGACAGGTTTGGGATGGGAGAATTCCAGAGAGTTTCACAAATCCTTGAGTGCATTTCTTTCTCCATACATTCAAGCCGCCTCATGTTTTATATTGAAAATGAAATAACGTTAAGAGTTCCTTTAAAAATTTGGATATAATTCAAAGTTCATTAGACTGGTATGAAATCAATATTTTTCTTTGGATTCCTGTTGCATTAGTTAGTCCTAGTCCTTGTGTAAAATAAGGTTGAGCGATGCTTCTGAGGATGAGCTAATAAAGGCCAAGGGTGAACCTACCTCCTTGCACTACTAACATTTTAGTCTTCTCATCAAATTCAATCCAATGTACCTAGGTAACCTCATGTCCAGACTTCTTTAACTGCTAAACTGATTTTGAAGTAGAGGTTACAGGGAAGTCCACAAACTAGTTTAAAAGGAGTGTAAAATCATACAGTCATTGCTTTCAGTGCTGACAAAACGTTAGAGTTCAATTTGTTACTTTGAAATATCTAACAAAATACACTGTTTGGTCTTCTTTAGTTCAAGTCAAAGATGCAAATCCAAATAATACGAGCGAAATCTGGAGAGTCAGTCATGTATAGGAATGTGTTCCATGCAGCTTATGTTATTGTAAAAAAACATGGAATCCGAGGAGCTTACCAAGGTCTGCCTGCTACGTGGCTAAGGAATATTCCAGCTAATTCAGCTTTCTTTGGTGAGTTTAAACAAAACCTCGAATTAGTTTATCTATGGGATAGGGTTCAATTTTAACTTGAGCTAATCAAACCCGAAACTTAGTATTGATCCACAGATTTTGCGAATGAATAAGTGCTTCTTTGAAATTTTTTTCCTTGAAAGAAAAACAAGCGAGAAACACTGTGAAGTCCAGTGCGTATTGTTTGACTAACGCAGACTTCTGCAGGGCGTCGTGGTGGCACTACAACACAAGGAGTCTGTCTACATACCATGATCAGAAAGTCTGCCTTAATTAGAAGAAACAGAAAAAACATGTTGAAGTATGTTTACAGCGTTTTAAAGCTGTAATTTGCAGTGTTGCTCACTAACTTAGCTTTCATATGACAAACCTATGATTGTCTTCTTATTCTTCCAGGTTTCTATGAATTATGTCGCACTCTGTCGATACCCGAGGGAGGTACGGTATTTGACTTATCCCCCATGGCATTACTTGCCTCTGGGGGAACCGGGGGATTTCTATATTGGTTCCTTACATACCCTACGGATGTTATCAAGTCTACTATGCAAGCCGATGATTCTGTGGTGGAGAAAAGACGATTTAAAAGCATTAGGGACTGTGTAAAAAAACTTTATAACGATGAAGGAGGATGGAGGCGATTCTACAGAGGCTTTACCCCGTGTTTAATGCGATCCATTCCAGCAAATGCTACTTTGTTCTTTGTTGTTGAAACAATCAGAAAGTATCTTCCTTTATAGGCCTGACAAGGTTTTACGACTGAGACTCTCCTAGTTAAAGAATTACGAGAAATTTGTGACCAAAAACTGGTTATGAAACACATCACAGCAATATCAACAATATCGACAACTTTCAATCTTAAAATAAGCAGCTAGTCTGAGGCCCGTTTCTCGAAGATCCTAGTAACTTAGCGGGCCCGTAAAGCTGCTCTGTTTTCATTTAAGATGGGGGTTTAGAGGGTTAAATTAAAATATAAAACTTTCATATAAAGAAACAAGAACGATTGGCTAAGGTGCAAGAACCTGCCTCGCAATTCTTTAACTTCTGATTCTATGGCTTCGGGCCCGTTCAGTTACTTGGACTATCTAGAAAAAGCCCTCCCCTCCCCAGCCCGCAGATAGCTAGTGCTATTCTAGGCGGGATAATCTTCAAAATCTAATCAAGGATTCCTAGATTACCATACATTAATATTGACATAGCAATGGCTGTTTCAACAATTCGGGGAATTCTGACATCAAATGTCTTTGTTCTAATTGAATTAAATATTGCCGGCAAAAAACGGTTATTAGCCACCAAAAGATGGATCACCACGTGCGAAGTGCAATTATATTTTCTTATAATCGTAATTTAGGGATATATGGGGAATCTTATATTTTTATTATAAAGGCTTCTGAAGCGATTTCCTCAAGCTAGACCAGTAATACTTATACTTCATTCTTTGGACTTTCAGCCAACATGAAAGTGATTACCTATTACAAGAATCTTACGATACAATTAACTACTTATTAATAAACAGTTCCTAGACATATCATGACGGTTTTTGTCTTATAAGTGCTGATTTGTTCGCTGTATGTTTATTGCCAATAGTTCATGAACATTCGAGTAAGTTTCGCAGTTACTTGGTCTCAAGATTGATTAACTCAACTTTTCACTTAATGTAGCTTGAGAAATTCCCGTAGGAGACATAAGAGAGGGGAATATAAATCCCCACGGGAGTAAGGCGTATAATTCCAAATTTAATACAGTATTTAGTGGGGTAAGTTTCTAAAGAAACTGTGGTGCTGCGTCGGTGGGGGAGTGTGACAAGATTATTTTTGGTTTATCAACTGAGTTGATAATGTAAACCGGCCACCGTAAAGTGTTTCGAGGCTGACGTTTCGAGCATTTTTCGCTCTGACGAAGGGTTAACGCTCGAAACGTCAGCCTTGAATCCCTTTACGGTGGCCAATTTACATTGTCAACTCAGTTGATTAAACCAAAATTATATTGTAACGAAAATATTAGGTAATTTACCAAACCTGAGTTATTGTCCATCATTCCTTTTTGGGCTTTACATTAGATAGTGAATCCAATTAAATTTTTCCCTCGAGGCGATGTGCAATATTTTACTAGTGTAAAAGTCTATTTTCTAGCCCTGCAACTTGACCAAACTTTTTACAAATTCGACGATATTCAATCCTAAATCCAAATGTCCTCATGCTGAGAAATGTACTTCCGAAGGGACAAGGAAGAGATAGAAAGATTCAAGAAGAAGAATGAAGAACGATTAAAAAATAACATTCGACAAACTTTTTTGCGAAAGCACGTAAGAAAGGTCTAAATTGTTTCCGACGAACTTTTGCAAATTTTACTTAATTTTCAATCTTTTTCGATAGCGTTCTTTTTGCCCTTCCCTTAGATTACTTGACTGTTTAGCCTATGATATATAAACCGCAGTCGTTTTCTTTGAACTGAGATCAATACTAAATTACTTGGTAGTGCGTAAATTTCATTTTCAAACAAAATCAATTGTGGGCCAGTCTGTAAAAAATAAGTGCATAAATACATCCAGTTCATTTCATGGACATGGCAAAAAGCGTTATTTTGAACTCCATGACAAATTGATATTGGTATTGCAATGTGAAGTGTTCCATTCTCGATCACATATAGTATTCAAATGATCTTTGTGAGGCACTCCATATCACAAACTGGAAATAGATAATAGCACAGAGAAAACGTTTCTTTTAATTCTATGTAAGGACAGAAATATTACTTTAAGGAGCTTATGGCTCCATTACTTCTGTATTCTACAATAATTCTTAAATCAAGTTAGTTATAAAATAACCTCAATTTGTTCATTCTATTTGTGACTCTAAGGAAAGAGAAAATAAAAAGAATCCTTTGTCCTGATTGGCCACCTGAATTTTTACCAGCTTGGAACTGCCAGCTATGATTTTTTGAAAGCTAAATTCTGTGATATAATCTTTAGCTTATGTTACAAATACTTTGTTTGATCTAGCTTGATATTGGCCTTGATACCAAGTCAGTCTCCATAAAAAAGAGATAACAAAATAATAATAAAAAATACTAGTCTAATATCCAGCAATCTTAACCAAACATTCTTGGTTTATGATCAATATTTAATAAATTGTTCTTACTCTTGATCCCTCAACATTAAGCAAGCATTCAAGATAAGCCACTAACACTTAAAAACGGTTAAGAATATATGAACGTCATATATTTGAACTGCAGATAAAGACGTGAATGAAAGTGATCCTCGCAGTAATGTTAATAATAATATTATTAACAGTAATAATATTATTAAGGTGCAAACAAAAATTTCTATCCATTGAAAAATAATAAACAATGGAGAAAACTCTATCTCTATCACATGTTACCTTTTAAAGAAATTCAAATTTCTTATGATAAGCACACCCATCCTTATCACAGATTAAGCTTGCTTGCTTGCTTCTTTATTGCATTTTAATATGAGCATGTTGATGAACAGAGCCTCACATAAAATAGACAAATATTACTAAAAATAAAATTATGTCAATACACAGCTATTGACAGAAGAAACACTTAAGGAGTTGGTTGGCTAATAAGGATTTTAAATGGAGATGGGGAAAAAATGAAAAAGAAACAATCAGAAACTCTAAATGACTTTCTTTTGCTGATGGGGATAAAATTTGTGCATACTTTACAAGGGAATAAGAAAGATTTCAAAGTTTTTTCCAGTTGGTTAATCACATATAGTTCACCTAAATCATCTCTTTCATAAAAAAAGACTATTCAATTATATTTGAATGACTTCTAATTTAATTCATTTAGCTTAATCTAGCTCTCTGTCATTCTTAGCTGATCCCCATCTTAAATAATTTTTGAAGATGACAGTGATCAAAAACTGACTTCCATTTTTCCTTCCTATTTCAGTAAAATGCGTAAGTGATTACTGTTAAATAGATCTATGTGTCCAATGGAAGTTATAATTAAAATTGTTTTTCTTTACATTTTTAGTAAACTTACAGATATACTAATTTGATGAGGGGAACATAACAAGATTCTTGTTTGTATCTGATCTAATACATCTGTTTTAAAATTGTTTCAAAATGAAGCCTGTGACAGTAAGGTAAGCATTCAAACATGAACTATGTAACAAAAAAACCCAAAATAACTCTATTTTCAGATATGTCTAGGATTCATAGACTTGATGAACTTGATCAATTACACTTCTGCAGACTGGGCATTGTTTGGAGTTCCTCTGTATCTCTCTGGCACAAGCCATGCACAATCCCAGATGGCCACATGGAATCAGCACACTGTTTGGTTCCTTACTCATACATATAATACACTCCTTTTTGCTTTCTGTAAAAGTAAGCATAATTTAGTAAAAAAATATTATTAAATTTCAATTATTCACATTCAAACCAAGTCTAGACAAACTCCAACTGTTTTAAGCTACAAAATTCTCCCAACTAATTGCTACTGGTATCCATTTGTCCACAAGTTAGTTCTGGTTAAAACAATATCAATATCACTCAAAATTACCTGCACACTAATCTAACTAGTGTAATAATTAACAAATATTTACCAAAGAGAAGGTAAATAGTGGTGGATAGTTACAAAGCAGCAGAGCAACAAGATAAATCAAGGTAATATTCAACAATTTTACTGCCAAAGGGGTGAATGACTATAATAGCTAATAGCATATACCACACAGAAATTTTAAAAAAATGGTAATTGTGGGGAGCTCTTCTTCACAATTACCAAAAAAATAAGTAGTTTCTTCAGTCAAAATACCAAAAAGTGGTTGAAATATAACTCTTATGTCTTGATTTTGTCTCTTTCACTGATTGGAGGTGAATGGTGCTTGCGAATCATTTCCACACTAGCCAATCAGCTTGTATGAAAAGCACTTTTCATCTCTGTGGTATTTATTTATTTACCCTTGGTAAACTATCATTATATTCAATGTCACCTGAGGCTGTAACTTAACTGTGTGGTGGACAATAATGCAGCCAAAACAATTACCCTTGTGTCACCGAAACAAGAAGGCCCGTTGCAACATGATGATAAATTAATACTTTTATAAGTAAGTTTTGATCATAAGGTCTTAGCTTCTGTTAACTCTTTCACCCCTAAGAGTGACTAGCATCTACTTTCCCCTCACAATATCACCCCTGAATCACATGCTAAGATTATGAGAATAAAAGAAAAGATCACCAATTGAGGAAGCTCTTGATTGAGACTACAGGAAGGTCAACATATCTAAATTTGCATGTTCAGATCAGATGAAATGCACCATGTCATTGATGAAACAGCATGCCAATTTGTACTAATTGTCCAACCATTTCCGAGACTTCTCTCTAGCTTTTTTTGGTAATTGAAAGTGAAATTCCCGAGAAATCTTTTCATCTTTTGTTTATTCATAAAATATCCTGAGCAGTTTGTTTACTAATTATCAAGTAAAAAAACTTGTGTTTTTATGAGCCACAATTTGGCCAGATTTTATTGAACATTTCACTTTCGGATTCTGCAAGACAACAAAAAAACTTAACACAAAAGTGTCAATTTCAACCATCAAACTATTTCAGTTTGTGAACAATTGGACATCGCAAACTTTGATGGTTTGACAATTTTGAGAGCTTTAGTCTTGTTCAATCAATCACATTATTTATACTATTCTAATAAGTATTCTGATTGGCTTACTGTGGTGTGCTTTATGAGAGTATAGAGCAAGCTGATGACACTGTTGTTTGTTTTGGAAATTAAGTTTGTTCTGAAAATTGAAAGTAACATGTGTGGAATTTAACAGATTCTCTAATATAAAACAAATTGAGAAACCTTGTGTTTCTCCCTACACTTCTTTCATGCTCTAGCCACTTCCTAAGTACTTTACTACAGCACCAAGCAGGGTCAAGGCTCCTCTATTGGTTAATTACTGCAAATGCTAACAAATAAAGAACCCACCATCACTTTTGGAGCCTTGAGCTGGGGGATCCTGACACAAGGACCCTGATGGCCTGGCATCTTGATGACTGTTACCCTGAGATTGTTGGGAGATTGAATTGCTAGGTCCCCTTGAGATTGTATATACTGGTGGATTCTGTGTAAAAATTCTACACAGTTCTTGAAGTAATGTATTGATATTACTTGATTTCTGAAAAAAAATTAAAGTGGTATGAAAAGCAGAAATTACTTGGAGAACTATGGCCAGATTGCGCAATCAAGGGTGGAATCCTACATCCATCCTTGACAATTCAATGTTCATCTGTGGTAATGTGTTGTCAGCTTTTCAGTGGTCATAAATTACATCAAAAATCTCTGCCAAAGCCTAGATGACCAGATGTTGCTCCAATGTGACATCAGTTTTAATTTAAATGTTACTCTGTACAACATCTTGAGATCAATGTTTATCTTCATTTTCAACATCTCCCTTCTCTTGCCTTAACAGTAAAGGTGGTGGGGTTTTTGAAGTGGAGGAAGAGGGCAAGAGTAGAGAGACCCTGTAATTACCATTGAATAATCTTTTTGATCTGGTGGTTTCCAAGCATGAACTCAGTTGGCAAGAAACTGAATCTTAGCTGTTTTCCTTTTTGAACTATTGATATAATTTCATGTACATAGATGTTGTAAGAATATTTATTACTCTTTCCAAATTTGGTGAATGGTGTCAGAATATTTAATGCCTCGAGAAACCTTTATATTATACCACTACTCTCTTTGTTTTTTAGTAGTACAAGTTTTTACATACATAATTCCATTTATGAAGGTAGGGATGATAAACTTTGCCATTTGCATCAACATAAGGTGAAACTTTGATTGCCATTGAGCTTGTTGGTCTGACATACACCAGAGGCACAACTTCAGGATGACCCTCTTGTAGCAGAACACAAACTGGAATATTGTAAGTAACACCTGCAACAGAATTTTGACATCAATCTGCTTTTGGCTGATAGTGTGATTATTTCAGAAAAAAAATTAATACAATTTTGTTGTCCCACAGGATTTGCTTGTCTACAATTTAACATTTACTTTAAATTTCTTTTCCAGCACCAACACTTCTATACTCGTCAATATTGTTAATAATAAGAAACTGTGGGAATGGAAAGTATAATGCAAGATAAACAGAGATTCTGATTTGCAAGATGAAGAATAACCATAAATTTACCATTAACTAAAATAAGAAGTAAACGAGACAATAAAAAATTAATAACTGCATAATTAGGTATGTTGATTACTTAAGAACTGATTTATTTGTTACAGGTTAATAGATAATACAAAACTTAAATTATTTAGTATAATTTTGTTGCTTTGTCCAACTGTCTTGGTCTGTTATTAACATGAGATTAAGAAGCCACCAAAACCAAACTTGAGGTGAGATGAAAGATAATTCACAGATTATGTTGTTTACCTTTTATTTTGATGGGAATTGTCCCCTCCATGGCAAATAACTCTGTTTGTCTTCCATTTTCATACGCTTTTAGTAATAAACACAAGTTACAGATTTTTAAATGATGTAAAAAGTAAAGGACAATTGTTGGATCATTAAAATGTAGACCACAGTTTAACTCCAGGATAACCGTTCCTTACCAGGCTACTCTCCACTGCAGCTATATTAAGTTTCAACATGCAATGTGCTTACAGTGAGAAGTAGAATTTTTGAATGGCCAGATTCCTAGAAAATAGGGCAGGAATCCTGAAAGGTCTGTGAGGCGATTTAGTACTACTTCTTAATAGACAGTTAGCAATGAGCAATACATAAACAAAGCTGAAAACCAGGCCTTTGTCAATCTCAGTGAGATTTTTCATTTAAAACAAACTATAACACAAATTGTCATGACCAGACTCTATCATAACAATTGTATGAGTAGACTTGTAGATCTTGGATGTGAAATGTGTAAACTTACTATATTCTTGTATTCCTGGCCTAAGACCGTGAAAATACTTCAACACCTGCTCAACATCTTTAACACAAGAATTTGCTTTTTTCTGTCAATGGAGAAAAATAATCTTGAACATCTATTTATTTATTTATTCAACTTTCACTGAGTACATAACATAAATATGATAAATAATAGTTAGATGACAGTTAATGTAAATTGGTAAAAGAAGAAGAAGAAAAAAACCAAAAATAACAATAATGAAGAGAAAAACTCAGTGAGGGACAGTCACGACAGAGCAAGCTCCAACTAGGTGAAAGCCCAATAAACATCACTATAACCGTGAACATAGCTAAGAGCAAGGTTTAGAAATAAGTATGTTTAGAAAATTGTCAAATTTCCATGATATCAACATTGTTACCTTCCATTATTTGACAAAGTTGTGAACATTCATGGCCAAAAATCTTCAAATGTAAAAAAAGTCAAGATTTAAGCCTATAATCAGGAAGGAATTCTTTATCCTATAGCTGAATTTCCTCACACACTTCCCTGGCTGGTTCTGCAATGACCCTGCAGGGAAGTGGAGGACACTTTATGACAGTTCAATCAACATGCCAATAGGATGGCTTCATAAGTATACAGATGTTTCAAGAAAGGTTTCAGAAAAAAAAGCCTGAAAATGCATGCTACCACCCCGAAACGTGTTGTGGGTTGTTTTCAAGTCACAGTTCCTTGACCTCAGGATTTCAAGGAAATCTGCAAAAACTTCATTGTAAACATGACATAGAGTGGGTTCGATAAATAAACTCATTTATTTGTCTAATTAAAATTCATTAATTACAGGATATCCACATTGCCTTTCAAAGATTGTTGCATGCGATCTTGTCCTTTTTTTTATCCAGCTATCATGATCAAACAATCTTGATCAACAAAGGATTTACTAACAAACAAGAAAACAAACAAAATAGTGATAAAGACCTTCCAAATACAGTAAAAAAACTCGGGATTGATGTTTCTTGACTGACATGTCTTAGCTGACCTCAAAATATGCTTTAGGATTCCATTTCTGTAAAACCCTTGGAAAAAGAACTTTTGTAACAGGCAGAGTTCCCCAGATATTTCAATCACATTTAAGGAACTTGTTTATGTGATCAAAATGGGCAATGCTGAGTGAGAAAGCAGCCAATAGGAACACAGGATTGAAAGGAGCTCTTTAAAATTCTGGGGCTGTGATCTTTACATCTTTATATCTTATTTTCAAGAGAATCCAATTTAATTCTACAGTAAGGTCCTGTTTACTTTTTCTTGTAAGAAAATTAAATTTGACCACTGAAATTTACTTTAGACATTTCATTTAAGTATCACCTATATGACTGGCTTCAATATTTCCCTATGACTTCAGATACTATTTATTAAACGGTTTTGAGCATCAATACTTATGGACAAGCTGTCCAATTGCATCCGCCAATATAGGAAGTGGAAAGACTTCTGTTCAAACATCCTACTAATGTAAACAAAGTCCTAGTCACAAAGGCTATCTATTGTTTTCGCCATTGTTTTCCTTATGTAAGAATTGTATTCAAAATGAAGTATGGGGCTGTGCGAAGATCTTACAAAGAAGGTTTTTTTCAAGTCTCTATGTTCAAATGGTAGCACATGTTAAAACCAAGTACTAGGAGCTAATTCAGCTTGAAAGATTGCTGGTAAAGAGACGTACAAAATACGTTTCGTTATGCGACGAAACTGAATAGTTTACTTCCGTTTACTTGGCCCTGAGGGCTGACGCTTATCTTAAAAACAGCTAACTTAGAGCAACCTCGAATCCGTCTTACACGGATATTGGATATCCACATCAGTGTTATGCTCACCTTAGTCTTTCTGATGAGTGCCGACCGCCACGACGCGGCCATTTGCCCACATCGAAACAGGTTTGAGCAATATGGTACCCAGGTTTCGCTCGCTACTATGTGCCGGAAGTAGATGATAGGTCATACGAACTAGCAGGCTGCATTGGTCTGTACTCTTGCCTTTGGATGATAATTAGGGAAATATTGAGCATACAATACAAAACTCGGGCCCGTACCTCCACGATTTGATCTAGTTCAGTGCTACCACAGTGAGGATCAGTCAACTTGTTGTTAAAGCATACTGGAGTGCGTCTCATTATACTCCTACACGCGGCAATATTGTGTTTACCTATTTTACACCTCAGAGAAGGTAATTTTTCCCCTTTCTATTAAAACAGAGTCATGGTCTCAAGTATCTAGTGGAGTTTTATATCCCATAATCGATCATGTACCTCCGACCTATTGGCGTGGATGGCCGGAACGGGGATTTTTCCTAAACATCTACCCTTGATAGAGTGGCATCAAAATACTTTATCATACATATCAGCAAACCTCCAGCCACATAAAAAGAATAAGAACGAAAAATACTTCTCATTTGGAGTTTTCATATAATAAAAATACTGGCCATCTTATAGTTTCAGACAACATACCCTTCTCGAGGGCCACTTAGCCTCAATTCATGACCAATGCTTCCCAATATCCTTCAGAATTCCCGATTAAGTGGAAAATGATATAGACCAAGAGCATTAAGGGAAAGACAGGCTGAACCGAAGGGTGCATTGGCGGATGGCAAATGTTTCTGGCGGGGAAAGGAGGAATGGGGCCTATTCATGTCTGCTTGCTATCATCAACTTAGATAGAGACAAAACCATCAGCCAGAGTGCAGTTAAGGCCGTCTATTCTAGTTCAAGGGGAGTAGGACCGGTATGAAAACTATTGCTCGAGTTCAATTACACATTGGAGATGATTTTAAAGTACTGAAAATAATAATTGTTATGCAACGTCAACTTCTGTTGATAAGCGTCGTGCACGCATCGTACGACAGATAGAGGCAGTTCACTCTCTAACATCGCAAGAAATTAACAGTTCATGAAACTTCAATATGACAAGAACTCTGCTGATGCCCCACTTGAGGTTGGACAACGTGTCTGGATTCACGCGTCGAAAGTGAGACTTGCCCTAATTAACTGACCATTTTCAATACTTTGTCGGTGCGGCACTTGCTAGTGCCTCCACACATAGTAAGTAATTAGGTGAGAATAGTTGTTCTGTGTTATTTGGTATTCAGGGTATGCAAAAAAACTACTATAAAAACCAACTGCCCCTGAATCGTTAATCGCCTTCTATAACGTAAATAAATTGCCCTAAAGGCTTCCTAGTTATATCTAACAATACACATTCATCAGAAGAGACGATTATTCCGATGAATTGTTTAAGCAATGAAACCACAGTCAGCTGCAGTCATTATTACTTTTGGACCAGCAACTGTGGTAACATTTTGACATGATTTCTATTGATGTATCATAGACTCCTTCCATCCATATGGTGTTAATCTGATATAAATATATTATATTTCAAAATTGATTTAATTTCTTGTTACCATTAGTCGATGTCAAAAGCGAACCAAAGTTTGAAATCTCCCTCTTTTTGGTTATGGTATTAAAAAAATATATCAACTTTGTCAAATCCAAAGTTTTATTTCACAGTCTATTAGGTGCAAGAGAAAAAGCTTCATTGGAAGGCTAGGAACGTCGAGGGTGACTTTTTCCCCATATCTTTCAGAAACGAAGTCATCTGATTGTCATCGTTATTAGGATTCATTTCTTCCGCTACTGTCTGATCGTGTTGCTGCATCAGATACAGGTCGTGGCTTATCACTATTCACTGCATTTTAACAGCTCCAAGCTTCATTGGTCCTTTTCCTCCTGTGGCTCGCTTATCCTTTTGAGCCTGCAGTCGCTGCCGCCTTTCCTCTCTCCTCTTTTTCAAGAGTTCCGCTTTACTGGACTTGTCTTGGCTCCAGTCCGGCGCATCCTTCTCACCCTGACCCCACTCATCACCCAGGGCGCTTTTAGTATTTGACTGTGTACCAGGTGCACTGCTGGTAGGTTCTTCAAATGATCCCCAGTCCCCTACATCCCACGCATCTCCTTCAGCCTCTGTAAGCTGAGGAGGGTTGTCAGTATTGCACTTCGCTTTGCTTCGTTGAGACGACTTCAAAGCACTTTGAACAGTTTTACTTTTGATCTGCAAAGAGCAAAAATAGATTGTGAGGTGTGATGTTTCGCAAAGTATTAAGGCCTACTAAAGCCACTGTTAGTGAGAGGGGAACTTTTAAGCGCTGACGTCTTTGAAGAAGAGAACGGCGACAGGAAGGGGAATATCATATCTGAAGCAATTAATCAGCCAATCAACCAGAAAACCCATGTTTTACCACTAAATTAGACGCTACAGGAGAAAACTGTAGCAATTTCTAAAGAAAAGGATCATCACTCTATCCCATTTTTAAGGCTACCTTTGGAGCACGCGTATCACCAACGCAGTCGGGGGCTGCAGCTGGCACCTGACCGGAATTTTCGTCCAGCATTTCTAATAATGAGGTTTCTTGATCAAAGCGCGAAGGCTTCTGCAGCGTTGATTTTGCTCTTGCTTGCTGAACAGCCTGTCAAATCATAATCACAAATCAGTTCAATATAAATAAACAGAAAACGTCCCCAATGAGAAGGTGACCTTATGTGTTAAAATTACTGTACCTTTTTGTTTTCAGGTCTACTCAGGGAGGATTTACTTGTAAAGGAAGATGGCGAAGAAAAACTGTCAACTGACCAATCATCATTCTCTCCCCAGTCACCATAGTCGCTTCCACTTTCCGCTCCGTCGTCTTCCGCCGCAAGATTTGCAGGGCGTCTGAGATACTAGACACAAAGTAAAAGAATTTGAAGTAGAAGAACGAACGGAAGTCGGATTTTACGACTGAATCTTACCGACAGCTCTTTTGCATTCTGCAAAGCTGCAATTTCCTCTTTCGCAGCTAGTAGATCACTCTTTAGATCGCCCATATCAGGTTCCTACAAAGAACGGTATTGTGAATTAAAAATATCAATGCTGGGCACACGGCCGGGACACAGAGACCTCACTGTAATTAACATATCTATCCTAAAATTTTCCAACCACTTTTCACTCACACCTTTGTTATCGATAATTTTTTTTCTTTTGAAAGCAAAGGTAGTGCATTAGGAGGAATAATTGCTGAATACAGACCACGCTTCAATGACATTAAACCAAACAATCTACCATTCCTGAGAAGTCCCCAGGAACAACATATTCATGAAAGAGGCACACTACCTTACTTCAGCAAACTCTAAAGACAACAAACCCTCAACCCCGCTAATACAACGAGTAAAGGCCCTAAAGTATTTCACTCCGTTAGTAGTAAAATGTGAATATGAAAGAGATCTTCGCAGTAATGAACACTACTTAAGTAGTAGTGAAAATAAGGCCTGAAAAAGTTCAGGCCTGTACGGGATTTGAACCCATGACCTCTGCGATACCAGTGCAGTGCTCTATCAACCGAGCTAACAAGCCAACTGGGAGCTGGTCATTATGTTGGTACCAAATATACCCGTGAAGTGGTGAATAAACGAATGTGAATATATGAAAGTCATATATTTGAACTGCGGATAAAGACGTGAATATGAAAGAGATCTTCGCAATAATGAACATTACTTGAGCAGTAGTGAAAATAAGGCCTGAAAAAAATTCAGGCCTGTACGGGAATTTTCGTCTTTATTTACAGTTCAAATATATGACTTTCATATTTTCACATTGGTAGTAAAATGGGTGGCAAAGAATTCTGAAAATCACCGGTAACAATAGTCAAAACCTATTTCCCCAATATCCTCGTAGTTGCGAGGGTTAAATGCTTTGCTTGCAACATGATATCATATTTTCAGTTCCACGATGCTAATGTGGCTTTACCCTGCCGTTGACTTTCCAACGCAACTAACACGGCTTTAACTAGGAAACAAAGAGCACAAAAAAAAAATATCCCGAACCTGTCCATCATTCCAATCGCGCCCATTCCACTCGTTCCCACTCCACTTGCCACTAGAGTCACTCCCTGAGTCCTCATCTTTATCTTCGCCTGTTGCCTGTTTCACACCTGGACGAATTTCCTTTCTCATTTTACTGTCATCTGTTTCCCCAACTGAGAAAAGAGTCAAAATTCTCCTTGTGAGTTTTCGAAGCAGAGTTATCGGGCATCAAAGTTGTGTTTCGCGCCTGGTTTCACTCATAACCGGAGCAGTCGGAGTTTTTTCAACTGGTATGGTGCTTAAAGAGGCTGACCAACACCACACCAAATGGTGATACGATAATCCCTAAACTATACAGTATCTCCGCTTTCAAGGGTAGGACGAGGAGGTTCGAAGTGGAGTAGAAAGCAGCGCCGCCACAAACCGAGCCAGTGTTTGTACATACCTGGGTGGGTACCTTTTCCAGGCTCACTCTTGTCTGCAGGTTCAGTGATTCCTCCCGAGGCGCTTCCTCCTCGGTACAGCTTTGATGTTAGGGAGCTGACAGCCCAGCCAGTCCAGGAGCTGCCTGCAGCTGTTGACTCTGGGGTTTGTTCAGCTTCTGAACAACAAACAATATGAGATATTGAAACTGGATAACGTGAACATGGATGAAGAAAAAATCTGATTCCCCCACGAGCAATAGATCAACCGACCTTCGGATTTCACAAGGCGACGCTCTACCACTCAATTCTTTCTCGATTTAATAACGCAGTCCACCTTGTTGGTTGCAATTTAAGCCGTGCGTCTGAGTCATGTTATTCTTCTGTTTGACGTCATGAGTCCAATGTAAATGCCCGTGTCAAATTTTTTTTAAAAAAGAAGAATAAGCAGTGAAACCAGTGTAAATCTTTTAAAGCGGAACCCATAACAGGCCGTTACCAACTCAAGTGCTGATTTTTTTCTTTCCATGTCTACTGTAAAAAAACTTGTTGAACACGGACATTTTTCTATTAACTGGGCCCAACGCTTAAATTAAGCGCTTCTGTTAAACGGAAGCACTTTTAAAAGAACTTTTCAAGATGTTTTCACCGCATAAAATATATCTATATATGCTGTGCTCAGTTAATGCCATTCAATAAAGCACAACATAATAGTTAAAGATTTGTCATTAACCCATGTTGAGACAGACAGGACATCTCCTCTTGCAAGTTACAAACTACTTGTTCTTCAAATGTACTTGAAATCAATTTTTTTTTTAAAGTAATCCGCCAAACGAGAGTACACTTTACAAAAGAAGATCACTCCCGACGCTGAACCATCCCGAAAATTAAGGTTATCATCGTCGCGAAATTGACTTAACACGTATTAGTCGGACACAATCCGGACACACTACATTAAGGAGACACGAAAGAGTGTGTACGTCTGTGACAGGTTTGTCTTGGGACCAAAACAAAATAAGTGGGAGTCTGATTGGTTGGTATGCATGGTGTGTAAGGACATGAGTTCACTAAGATTTCCAACCTAACATTGTGATTTCCACACCCTCAGTTAAATTGGCTGGGTATAAGAGTACATTACTCACCAGCCTGATTCATAGTAGATTCTGGATCCTCTGAAGCTTTTTCAATCTTTGTCAGAAACACCTTGATAACTTTAAAAACCTGTAAAAAGCGTACAATTAAGACACTCGTTGATAGCGCTTACGATATTAATAACACCTGGTTACGGTTTCAGGAGGACATTAATAAACTTACTGATATTCTAAAAAAAAGAATCTTTTCCTTGCTCATTTAATCGAGAAGATTATAAACCGTTACATCACTGGGACCCAAAGCAATCATCATCCCCGGGGTTCCCTTCCTACCACTTCACCTACGTTCTACTTTAAGCTACCCTACATACGCCACTTTTCTGTCATTTTATTAAGCGCTATTGCAATGACTTGGATATTAAACTGGTTTTCTCTTCCTTCAAAATCGGTAACTTGTTTGGTGTGAAAGACCCTGTCCCTGACGGGCTCCGTTCACGTGTGGTTTATAAGTTTGTATGTGCTGGCTGTAATGCCTGTTACGTCGGTGAAACCTGCTAGCATTTTTCCACCGTGTTAGAGAGCACTTAGTCAGTGACAAGGCCTCTCACATTTTCAAGCATCTGAAAGATTCTCCACATTGTCGCGCTTTGTGTTCAGAAGATAACTTCCATGTTTTAGATCACGCCTCTACCGGCTTTCAACTTAAGATAATAGAGGCTATTCATATTCAAAAACAACAACCATCCTTGAATCAACAATTACACCATGTAAATCTAAAACTATCCTTTTAATTCTCACACTTTCATGCTTTACCTCTTTTCTTGTTGTCACTATTTATCATAATTAGCATTGTTCTACTTACTATATAATTCAACTGCCAACGCTTTGTACAGTAATTAACTGAAGATGACAGAAGTTTCTGTCGAAACATGTATTACAGACTCAAAAGTTTTATCGCTTTCTTTAAATTCTTGACTTGTCTGCTAATATCAAGACCCTTTGAAAAATAATGTAAGCATTTAACAAGAACTATTCTATGACTTCCTCGCCCAAATTAGCTCTTCATGTTATGACATGCTATTTTTCTTGGTGTAGTGGTGTTAAGTAATCCACGTACATTCCACGTACATTACTACATGAACAACTAGCTAGGACCGGTGATACAAAAATATAAACAAATAAATAAATATCACAGAGCAATGCTATCCGAGAAAGCTCAACCATAGAAGACGGAAAAAAGTGCATGAACGTAAAGAATTCCTGTGAAACATTTCTCCTCATTTAACTGATAGGCAAAGGTTCTCCTACTATATTATTATCCCCGCCAGTTTAACTCTACCTGATCTCTGACTTTCCGTTCTGGGTCCACAGTCAGAGTACACAAAGCTGGTAAGATCTTGAGTGCACTCTCCTTTAAACTGAAATACTCAGCTGAGGCAAAGAAACCCATCACACCAGCTATACGAGCAGGAGGAAAAGGGTCCCTTAAGGCACGCAAGAATGCTGGAATCAGTACCTTTTGCCGTGTCTGGAAATTAAAATCTTGAAACTCACCATCATGACATTATCACTCCCACTATACAATTCATATGTGACACAAAAACGCTGTTGTGTTACCCAAGACCTCTAGAATATTCCTCGTCATGTATGCTTCTCATCCGTCTGATTTGAAGGTGTCCATGATATTGTTACAAGGAGAATCTTAGTACTAATTGTCAATTTGTTCCAGGTGCTTAACGTGAGGTAAACTGATGTAAAACAGCTAGGGGAACAAGAGCAAGTTTTGAAGAGCACTTTCTTGGAACCAGCTTTTTAAATTTGGATTGATGTTACAGAATTTAGGAACATCCCCAGAATCTGAAAGTACATGTACTTTGTTTCATTATTTAGTATGTTATGTGGCAACTGCAAACTCAGAATGTTCTTGCAGATGGAAATTTGTAAGCTAGTATACATTTGTCAAACCGAAAACGTGAATACATACAGCTAGTGGGAGGTGCACTGCAATTTTTCCCAGACAAACTGTGGTGTTTGTTCTGATGCCAGGCTGAAAGAAAAATTGGTAAGTTCAGGAGTCTCTCTATTTTTTCACATCTCAAGACTCATAAATCAAAATTGTGAAATATGAGAGAAGAGAACTGGCAAATTCATACTTTTCATTCCTACCTCTTGATCCATTTGAAGTTTTGCAAAATATTTCAACAGCTGATTATTAATTGTCTTTTCACTTAATTTTGAAGCAAGAAGCAACATGGACTGCAAAAGAGAAGTGAAAAATGAAAATCTTTGAAATAAATGATTGGAAAAAGTAACCAAGGAAAAAACATTTCTAACAAACAAAAGAGGAAATACTTAAATGCATTAATCAGCATACAGATGTTCAGATAAATTATCAAACTTTAAGAAATCAAAATAGTCAAACCAAAAGTCAGAGACTGTGAACCTCAAATCTGATAGAGGTTATGAAACATCAGTTCTCCTGCTACAACAATGCCACTCACATAGAAGACTTACATTTAGTTTCCTAAATGTGATCCTCTGGTTAAGTTTTATAAAAGCGGCAAACAAAAAAATTCAGGAACATCATTTAGAAGCTCCAGTTCTCCTACCAGATAACCTGCCAGCAGAGTTGCCTTTGATATTCCCAAAAAATTAGTGTGGGGTGTGAGATAGTCTTTAGTATTCCCAACTTCTTTGGGAAGGTCAAAGGTGACTCTCCATGCCAAGAAACTGTCTTTTAATGGGGAACAAATTGCATTTACCTTGACTGTCTGCTCTCTCATGGCTGGAATAGTGTCACCAAATCCCAAAGCAACATGAGGAAAGATCTGCTCATCCACTGTAGATGGCTTCAAGTGTTGTACAAAATTATCAAGCTGAAATGATCAAGAACTCATGGTCAATGTGCAGAATTGTTGACAGAAGAAGATTGTGTTAGCTAAGCCTTGCTAGTTTAATTAACAGTCCTTGAATAGACCAGATGAAATTCAATCCAATTTGAGTGAAAAATAAATCAGCCCATCCAAGTACCTCTACTAATTGTAACCACTATACAATTTGGACAGTTGCATCAGCCAATCACACTGAGTATACTTAAATGAATTCTCCAATCACAGAAATGAACAGAACGTTTACTGCATTGATTTTGTTTATCACTCATGATTACAGATCAAATTACACTCCACTCAGTCCATTACCATTACCATAGTAATGATCCCTCTTCTTACCTGTTGTAATAAGTGGATGCGTGTTGCCCTATCCGTGGATGAAAACAGTTTGACCACACATGGCACAATTTTCTGTTGATATTCATCTGTATCCAAGAGTTTACCAACCTGTATCATATTGTATAAGAGTTCAGAATAAAAATATTTCTACCAATGGTAGAGTTCTTAAAAAAAAAAAAATAGTCATCTGGGTTTGAATTCTGCCATTTGGTCCAAGATGAATTATGTACACTTCATAGAGTATTAAAAATCAATATAATGACCAGCTCCCAGTTAGCTTGTTAGCCCAGTTGGTAGAGCACTGCACCTGTATTGCGGAAGTCATGCACAGACCTGAATTTTTTTTCAGGCCTTATTTTCACTACTGCTCAAGTATTGTTCATTGCTGTGAAGATCGCTTTCATATCAATTTCTTACACTGCAGTTCACATATATGATTTTCATCTTTTCAAAGTCATCTATATCAACCCCTGACTGAGATTTTTTGATTCTCAATTGCAATTGAACAGAAATCTATTAACCATTATGGCGACTACACTTAGACTTTTACATGCTGGAGCTGACAAGAAGGAAATATTGGTAGCACTGGCACCTCCATCTGTTATGATTTTAAAATTGTGCCTACACTTCATATGATTGAAACAAACATTTGCCAAATATTCTCTGCACATGTGCACACATTACATAGAAATGAAGTAATCTTTGTTTGTCATCTATAGGAGAGGAATTATGAGAAAAGAACTACAACATACTTAATTTAAAGATGGCAATGGTAAGAAAGCAAATCTTACTTTGAACAGTGGCCCCAAGACAGCAGAACCAGCTGATCCATATTCATAAGCATTCAGCAATTGAGGAAGAATTCTGTGCTTGCAATATTGTTGAGGAAACAAGTCTAATGATGAGCTGAGAGATTGAAAGAATTGCTTCTGTTCTTTTTGCTCCTTTATCTAAACAACAAAAAGCAACAACTTAGGTATACATCATGAAACAGCCAACTCAATTAAAAGCTTATATTCATTGAAACAGAAGAAAGTACATCAGGTATTTGAATAGTTATTATTCTCTATTTATTTATCTTATAACTTATCTAATATTTATCTAATTATCTGTAATCAAAACACCATATCATATGGTTTCTCTTATCATTTATAATGGTAATTGGACTGAGTGGAGTGCAATTTGGGTAGAAATCATACATGTGATTTTAAATTAAAACAAGCGTGCAGCACAAGTTTGATTTGAAATCACAAGTATGATTTCAGACCAAAACTGCACAACACGAGGTTCAATTACCACTTTATTACATCCATTTTGAAATCACCCAAATACAGGACTTGGTCAGTTCAAATATTTTATTGATGCAGTACTGAGCCAGTCTGAAATTAAATTCATCCATTTTTTGGGGGGAAAAAGTAAGGGTTTTGGAAACAAAAGTTGCAAAATTTGCCACATGATACTCTTTGTCTTCCATTTTCCTGCAATTTGATTGGTTACTTTAAACAAGCCTTGAAATCTGATTGGTTGTTTTGTTTTTAGTGTAGCCTTCTCATTGGCTGGGAAAAAGAGGCGATTTAAAGCCAAAAAATGGTGCAATTCGGGAATAAATCACATCAATTAGAGCCAATCAGATTACAGGAAAGACCAGTGATTTCAAAATGGGTGTATTAAATCTATTAATTTAATCAAGTTTCAAATGTCATCTTACTTTTAAAAAATCTAGAAGAGCTATGCAGATATTATACAATTCTTTTAATTTTTAACATATCTTAGTGATAGATAGTAGAATGAAGCAGTTATTAGCCATCAGATTTTAGCACTGGTCTTAAATTCTGCAAATGATTGTAAAGCACTCAGAACAGAATGTATCAGCACTGTAGAGGTGATTTTATCATCATCATCATCATCATTATTATTTGTTATGCTTCACTTCCCTGATAATCAGAACTGTTTAGGAACTACAATATAGCAATATTCATGACGTGGAAATGTCTAACAAAGTTCCAGATTAACTCAAATAAACTTCATTTGATGTATAATAGTGAAACTTACAAAGTTTTACAAGAAAATAAAATACAAACACAACTCACATAAGAGCTAACATCAACATCAAAAGCATAACATAAAAAGCAAACCTGCAATTCTTGTAAGAACAAATTAGCGTCAACAAAGCTGTTTTTAAGGTAATGGCCTTGAGTTCGACATTCCTGTAGAAATTTTGCTGGGTTTGGTCTGCTCTTAGGATTAGCACCTACAAGTTGTACATAGTCTGTAACCAAGTTCTTTGGAATCTTTCCAACAGACTTCAAGGCACCTGTCCTGGACAATGGACCATTGAACACTTCCCAGATCAGACATCCAAGACCCCACATATCTGCTGACCTGCAAAGTATGTATCAAATAATAACTAAAAAAATTCAAAGGATTGACATCTAAATCAGAGTTTAATGCATGATAAAAGTTGTTTTTTTACTTGCTATAAGGGTCATTGTGAGATTCACATGTGACTTTTTAGAGGGAAGTCTGCCACTATGCATTGGATGAATCAAAACTACTGGGACAACTGTAAGCAAATTGACATGCTCACAGGTATAGCCTATGCCTAAAACCATAAAAAAAACACCTTTTTTAAAACCCCAATACATCAGCAACTTTTCTTCATAAAACAGATAACACATGCCAGTGTTGTCACATGTTTTGATACATCTAATGATGCTGCATCTGGTTATCAACATCTAGACAACTTAATGTTCCATTAAGCAAACCTTATTTTGAAGCCTCACCATTTTTCAGCCTTCTTGTTGCCTTTACTATATTTTCTTCCCTCTGGAGGTTCATAAACTTGTAAAACTGGCAGTCTAGGTAGATCAGGTTCTTCAGTGTTTGATGATGGATCAACAGGTTTAAGGTAATCAACGCCACCAAGCTTCCACTCGCCTGCAATATCTACAAACACTGATGCCATGCACACATTACCATGAATCAAACTGCAATCATTTATCAGAAAACTGAGACCAGCCTAAAAAGGAAAAGAAACATGGTATATGAGGAACTAAAGCCGGTAAAACCAGCTTTAAGGAAATTAAATTATTGATCAGCATAAATAATATCATAATTCAGACGAAAAGGAGAGGATGCTTAAAGGACCACCTGCTAAAAAATTTGCAAAATGTTGACAGAAACAACTGATGTTCAATTTTGGATAGTAATGCTCCCCTTGAGAAACAGCTTTAAAGGGCTGCATTTCCAAACTTGAATGTATTCAATAATACACCATACTGTGAGTGCACATACTGTAATTTGATGCAATCCCCAAGAAATGGCAAAATCAGCCTTTGAGTTCTCATCTTCGCTTAATAGTACTTCCAGTGGTTGAACAGGCTCTGTCACCAGATAAATAACTGTATCAGACTGTAAAGTAAACAGAGATGAAAACATGAATAATAATGTCTGAATCTTACATCTATGATCTACCTAAGAATTCATTAGCTTGTATTGGTAATACATGATTTTGAGTCCAATTTGAGATAAAACAGTTTTTGAAAAATATCCAAGTGATGATTTCTCCCATATCACACATGAAAAAACATGTGATTACTTGTTGACAATAACCACCATATCTAGCATACTGTAACGCCACAAATCACAGTAAACATGCCGTTAAAACTGCTTTTAATAAACACAACACTACTATATTAGCACATGGTCTACCGATGAGTCATGTGACCCCAAAGGTAAGGTCACTCAGGGGGGACCCCTGGGGAATAGCTTGCGCTACGATACAAATAAGTTCCCATCTCCTAGTGCCTGATACATTTGTTTCTAATTCTTACTAGTTTACAAAATGTGTGACTTTTTGAGTTTCTGCTGTAATTAATGCTCTTAAATTGTATGTAAATTTCACAGTATTAAAGAACTTAAGTGTACTGATGTCAACAAATATCAATTCCTTGTGAATTTTTTTGAGTAAAAGTTCTGTATTTGAGTTATGACTCCCAGATAACCTTTGACTGGTACCATACTTTAAGTTAATACCTGGAAAAAATTGGTACTGAATAACAGTCTGCAGTAATACTCACCTCAAGACCATCAATATACCTCACAATATTAGGATGTCGAAGAGTTTTCAGTCTTCTGAGGGCTAACTTGGCTGTTTGAACCTTAACAAATGAAAGAAATCTTAAGATAGGTTGCAAGAAAAAGAAGAAAATTTGTGTTAAAGACAGTTTCTGTGATGGAGAATTAAATATTTTGGGTACAATTTACCGTAATTTTAAGACAGTACCAGGAACTAATACTGTGACAGCTAACATCGCAATAGTAGTTACTGTACTAATCACACTGGCTAATTACAAGTACACCCCAATTAATCAGTTCAAAATGAAAACTTGTCTAGGATTTTGATGCTGGGCACAAAGTGAAGGAAAATAAAATTCAAGCTGGTTTGAAGCACAGGAAACGAAGGCTTAGTTAAACCACGATAGATGTGCATGTACAGGTAAGGTTTGCGGTACCTTGTCCTCTGAAGATGACTTGACATCGTGAATAAACACAGACACAGCTTCTCCAGTACCCTTGAGACAAAGCAAAAAGTTCCTTTTCATAACTCTACCTAGACAACCACATAAAGACACGCTGATGACTGATCGACAACCTACTTTTTTTTTCCCTTCATGTAGTGTCCACACAGACTTGTCCGCTAGGCTCCCTGCTTTTTCACCAATCTCGTAGGGAAAATTTTGAGCAGCACCAGTGCCAATCTTTCCTATTAAGCTCCATAGCCCCTGCATTTTATATTAGTAACATAACCACTCCGACAGAAAATAAAGGAAAATTGTCACCCCATATCTGAAACGACATCAATCGGTTCTTGTCTTCGTGGCTAACTAGCACCCAGTTTTTCCTTACGAAAGCTTGCCGCTAACCCTAAACAGCGGCGGCTCAAAAGTGTTTTGAATCATCATGTTTCCAGTTCTAAAGGAAAAGTCCTGTTTGTGAGAACCATCAACATATACTTATAGAACAGAGAACAAGCAAAGAAATATGATGCATCAACTTGGACAGCAGGTACTATTTCATTCAAATTGCCATTGCGTTGAAAATCTTACATAACCTGCTTTGTAATGTGTAAAAGGAAAGAAGGCGTCGTTTGTTGTTTTTGATTCGTTTTCGTTTCACTGTAAAACGTTTGCTTTTACCTACGTTATTTCGCCAAACAATCTTTCTTTCTGTGTCTCAGGTCGGTTGAAATTGTATAAAAATGTGAGCCCTTTCAAGTTTGGTTTTATGATGAAATTTTAGTCTTTAAAATCAGAGCAAGCGAGTAATGGAGGCTGACAACTATTTACACTTGTTTTCCTTTGATGTAGATATAGTTAAGCATGATCACCTATCTAAACGTTTACAATCTGTTGGAAGAATTTGCAGAATATATAGTCTCTTTAGAATTCTCGCGAGTTATATAGTTATTTTTTCAAAGTTTGGAAATGTAAGGATCACTTCCCCGGGAACATTGCCAGACAGCAATCGCAGAATACCAGAACATCATAATGATCAATATTTCCTCTTTCCACTCTTTACGTCAATGATAATGAGTACAGAAGAAACTTAATCACCCTTTTGTAATCATAGGACACACTATGTAATTTGCAAATAATCTTATATGATGTTTGATAGTAAAACAAATCATCTGCAGATCTATGTAAAGGGAGTAAGTAAAGTAACCCATATTACATTTTCTACAATTTAGTCTCTCCAAGAACGTTTGTGACTTCATGTGCTTCAGTATTTACCCTGGCCATATAAAGTAATGAAACATAAATGATAACTGCAGTATTTTGTTTGGAGAAAAGACAAGAACTTTTTGACTTGCGTATAAAAATGTCTTAGAAAAGTGGAAAATGTTAGTGTTAGTAGTAGTTATTTAAATAACCATAGCAGTTATAAGAGCAAAACAAGAAAAGATCCAGTGATCATCTAGCTGCCATATTTGACCTTTAAAACAAGGATCTCATTTACACTTGTTATTTTGTAACTTAATATCTCACTGTGACAGAGCATACATTTAGAAATTTCTGAAGGCATTATTTTTAAGGATGCCCATGGTCATGAAAACAACCTACATTGTAAAATATAGCAGATAGGTGAGGCAAAAGGAAAAGAATTAGAAGTACATCATGGTTCTTTCATCATAGACTTTAGAGTTTTCCACCAAAATGCAGAAATCTTGAGAAAGTGTTTCTGTGAGTTGAGATATATATACCTGAGATATATATATGGTATTTTATCTGCATATGTAGGTAGAATAACACCCTTGTTGTAACTTAAAGTGCTTGCAATTTGATCAACCATATTTTTTTGCTAATTTACAGCGAGGATTTCCTCACAGCCATCCTACACAGGCTTCAAACTTGTCTGAAATGGAAAGAGAGAAAATTTATACTTGGGTTCTTGAGCTGTCTAGTCCTGATACAAGAGAGCATGCACTGCTGGAGCTCAGGTATATGTTTTAATTTGAACTGATTTCAAGTTGATTTTGTTCAACAATTCAACTATTTGACTGAAAGAAGAAATTGTCATGTAATTTCTCCCTCTGAAAATATCAATACATTTTCCATTGAGCAGTTATGAAGACTAAACAAATTTCAAGGGTTGCAGTAAGGGGTGGAAACCAGTACAATTTGCCATCTGCCTTAATTTTTCTGAAATGTATTACATTAAAGTGAAGATCAAACCTCGTTTAGCCACCTACTTTGCAGTTTTTACCATCTACTTGTACTTCAAAAGTTATTGAAACCCCTGAATTTACAATTGTACTAGTAGATAACATCTTGGAATGCATACATGCTTATTCTAAAGAGTTCTAGGTCATTCACAACATCTCAAGTTTTTTGTGAACATCTAGTTTTGTCAAAATGCCAGGCGAGAAAAGAGCCTATGTTTATGTTATAAATCATCCCTAAGTGGTATTATGCACAGTAGAGGATGAACACTGTTGAAATTATTTTTACTTGAAAATATTGATAACATTACAACTATAACACCTCTCTACAGTTACTGGTAACTTAGAGGGTTGAATATTGTCCTTCATAGGTAGTTATGCTTCTACCAGTTTAAAGCTTCAATATCTTCCCCCTCTCCATGGGCAAACTCCCGGCATTTGAACTTTTCCATGGCCAAAATTGTGTTAAATGCTCGACTGAAGTGCTGGATTTGAACATCATTTTGTCCAAGGCAAGATTAGCGATGGTGTCTTTCTAGTAGACCTTTTCTTCTGACCCATCTGCTCACAAAAACGAACTTTTTACCTTAAACTTCTCAGTCTATACTAAAAGATAAAACACATTTATTTTGCTGGAAAGACTTGTCAGTCCCCAGCTCAAATTCCCCACCCCAACCAGAGAAGGTTCAAAATCCCACCCTCCAGGCATGAATGAGAGTAAAATGCCTGTGGGCTGGCAGGGGGGATGTTAAGGGTTTGAACTGATTACAGAATCCAATATTTAGTCAATAATGCCACTTACAGAAGCATTAAATAATTATTAGAAGTATCTTGCTTAGTAAGTGCAGCAATTTAACATCACTCAATCAAGAATTGACCACTTCATGCATATCTTTCCAATCTTTCAATAATACTTTGGCCTTCTGCAATATTTTATAATTGATTCTGTTTGTGCACTTTCAACAATCTGATGTATGATGTAGACAGTCTTGCAAAATGCATTTTTTCCTCTAAGTAAACTTTAATCAATTAACTTTTATCATTTTCTGTGACTCAGCAAAAAAAGGGAAGTTGTTCCTGATTTAGCACCTATGCTGTGGCATTCATTTGGTAAGTTGGACAAGTACTTGTTTTGTGATTCTTTTTATGATAAAATTTCTTCTAGAAGCTAAATGTACATTGTGTAAAATAATGCTACATGTGCATGTTAATGGTTCAAAATTTTATTATAATTACTCTGTTTTTGTGTTACAGGAACCATTGCAGCATTGTTGCAGGAAATAGTTAACATTTATCCAGTTATAAACCCTCCAAATCTCACGGTAAGTAATTTATGGTTGATGAAAAACTATAGAATGACATACTAAGCTTCTTGTTTATTTTTATTTCAAATATGTTAATCTAAGTGTTGCAAAAATTCAGTTATGTACTTTGTTACTTTATTCAGGCCCATCAGTCTAACCGTGTTTGTAATGCTCTGGCTCTTCTACAATGTGTTGCCTCTCATCCTGAAACTAGGTCAGCATTTTTACAAGGTAGGATTTTTTGTGGCTTGTAAAGATTTTTAGGATAAGTCAGTCATTCAAACATCAGAGGGAAAGTGGAGATACTTTGGGACACAACTGTTGCGGAAAAAAAAAAAGACACACAAATGAACTTGTACACATGTGCAAGAAGAATTATATCAAGCATGTATAATGGGTACATAACACTCACATATTAGATGAGTTCTAATTACTGATTTACACAAACATATGTGCATATGGGTATTTGATTACATGCAGGTGCATTAGTGAGGTGCAGTGTGTGTGTTTCACCCGAGCAGTGCGTGGCAATTACATGTGCATCTAGAGCATGTAATGCTACGGTACATGAAAGCAGTGCTACTCAAAAAGCCCTTTATTATAATAACTCAGAGGAATATAAACAAGTCAAAATAAAATGAACTTCTCACAATTGCAGTAGACTTATGTTAATAATTCAGAGGAAAATAAACAAGTCAGATAAAATGAACTCTTTTCAACTACAGTGGACTCCTGGTAAATTGACAGGAAATAGAAATCATGTTTTTCTTGCTTGGTTTATAACTGTTCAAACAGTGTATTGAGTCAGCTTTAGAACAAAGGGGCTTCACTTATTGAATGTTAAAATCACTTTGAGACAGTGGAATTTTGATTCATTCAATTTTTATGGTTTGATTCATCAAGTGTAAAAGATCATTAAGTATGTACAGTTTGGTGCTAATCCTGGAAATCAAACTTGATATGAGTAACAAGGAGTTAGCTGTAATAAATTAATTTATGATCACCCTTTTTTATTGCCTTGTGTGTTGTTAAGTGAGGTAATTACTGTGTCGATGTCAATGAGAAAAATATTATTACCAGTTTTTACACTTTAGGATGTGATCTACATTTCTCGATTTGCTTAGAAACTTGTTTTATAAAATTAATAACTCCTGTACTTTCATGGCATTTTATACTTATTTTGCTCTACAGCACACATCCCCTTGTTCCTTTATCCTTTCCTTCACACCACAAGTAAAACAAGGCCATTTGAGTATCTGAGATTAACTAGCCTTGGAGTTGTAGGAGCTCTAGTAAAGGTAAGTTATCTGATTAGCATAATAAAATAAGATCTTTCTCTGTGGGAAAGTTATAAATAATCTAATAAGTATTGTTATGATTGTTTTTCAGACTGATGAAGCTGAAGTTATCAATTTCCTCCTCACAACAGAAATAATTCCTTTGTGCTTAAGAATCATGGAATCTGGTAGTGAACTGTCAAAGACTGTAAGTGATTGTCACACCTTCCTTTGACGAACCCATGGAACCAGGGTGCTTTTGTCTCCCATTGTAACATTATATACCATAACTTATTTAGAGGTCTTTACAAAGACTTTTTAATGTATCAATAGCATTTTTAATTGGTGTTTCTTTACCCAGCAACTGCCAAAATAGGGTTAATAGTTGTCTCTTGTAATGAAGGTTCAAAATTATTTAATTGTAACAAATAAGGTAAGAGATTAGACATCATAGCTGACAGGGTACTCAATTTTCAGCAGCTATCTGCCTTTATAATGTACTTGATTCTGTTTGCTCAATCAACCCTTTAACTCCCAGAAGTCACTTACATGTAACTTCTCCCTTAATGTGCATACATTACCCACCAAACAGGTGATGAGAATACTCAAACTTATCAGGTAGAGCTTGTTGTCTTGATCTAACACCGACTTCTTTAACTAATTTACAATGTGTAGCAGCAAGAGGGGAGAGTTAACAATTAGATTTAATTTGGATTTTGATTTAACTCAAACAGTTAAATTTGTCTCTCTTTTGTCCCAGGTAGCAACATTTATATTGCAAAAAATTCTTCTTGATGAGACAGGGCTATCATATATTTGCCAAACATATGAGAGGTTTTCTCATGTGGCCATGATCTTGGTAGGTAAAATTCTAGGCACTGATTGTATAGTACTACATATTTGAATCTTCTTTGTTGTCTGTAAGGAAGTTTTTTTTAGAATAGGAACTAATACTGCTTTGGAACTTATTGGATTACATTGATGGAGAGAATGCTTTGCTTTTGCTCATTAATGTGTATTCATCTGTCCCACTGAATACTTCATTAGATGTTATGATGAAGGTTGAAGTTAGCTCTTGGTCACTTGGTTTGTGCCACTATGGGTTGAGAAAGAATGAAGCACTTAACAAATATAAAATTATATGATTTATGATTGGGTTTCAGGGGAAGATGGTGTTAGCTTTAGCTAAGGACCAGTCAGCAAGGCTACTGAAACATGTGGTTAGGTGTTACCTTCGCCTCTCAGACAATCCCAGGTGTGTTAGCATTTGATACATGATGATTGAAAGTTTAGAATCTGATTTTCCTTTTGTCAGGTAACCACTAAGTTAGCTATTGTGGCTCTGCCTTTACTAACTCAAAATTCTTACTTCAGTAATGTTATTAGAGGCTTTCTAAGATAAGTAGACTCTGGGAACATCATTTATCTTTGCAGAGCCTTCTCGAGTGCATTTGATTAAGTTTGGGGTTTATTTGGGTTTCTGTGCAGCTAACTGTAACTTGTTTTTCTAGAAGCTGCTAAACAAAAATGCGCTTTAAGTTTCAGCCTCTCCTGAACTGCAATAGTACTGTCAAGTGGAGATTTACTTAACAGTACAATTTCTTTTTTAATTTGATGTTGCCATATATTTAGGGCCCGTGAAGCTCTTAGACAGTGTCTACCTGATCAACTGAAAGATGGTACATTTTCTAACTGTCTGAAGGATGATGCATCTACCAAACGATGGCTCAGCCAGCTTATGAAGAACTTACAAGATCCCAGCTTATCTGACCCAAGGGGAATACCTCTGCCCCCTTAAAATCGACCTATTGAAAAAAATCAAACCTTTGTAAATATACCTTTCTTTGTTTTGGAAATCTCTGTACCATGGTATTTTTGTAGACCAATATCAGTAAAGTCTAATTTGTACAGGGGTTATTTTGGATATGGTTACTTCTTCATAAAGTCTGAAGCAATAAATATAATCAAAACCTCGATTCAAAGCAACTGATCCCAGCTTCTTGTTGTTTTAAGTACTGACTTTCTGATTTTGAGTTTGACAGCCTTTTCAAGCAGCTAGACATTGAACTGGGTCATTGTTAGCAAGGGGATAGCAAGGGAAAGAGATTCTGGAATACTGGTAAACGTTTTCATCAACAATTTGTATTTTCAAACAGGGATTCGTACATTTCAAAGTGTGGTGGCAATTAAGCCTGCATGTTTTGATTGCTGTCCAAAGTGTCTTCCATACCCTTGTCCTTTGATTTGTTTAGGCAGATGGCTGGGAGATGGAAAAAAGAATTTGAAGCCTTGATGTGTCCTTGGGAAAGTAGCCTGGTTGCTTTGCAAGGTGTCGAACATCTAGGCTTCAATAATCTCTTTTTAATGTTCTAACCATCTGCCTCTCTGGAATCTCAAAGCTGTGGCTGTGTCATAGTTTCAAATATATTTTTTTAATGGTGGTGGTAAGAAATGTACGGCCTCTGGAGATAATCTCTCTTAAGTCCTGATTTCTTTATTTTGGAAGATAGATTAAAGGCTAATCAATGAGGGGGGAGGGTGCTTCAATAAAATTTTAGAAGGGATCAATACATGATGTAGACTTGCCACCTTCCAGAATCATTTGCAGTCTCACCATTAGTTCTCTGTGAAAAATGGCCAGAAAATAAACTAATTATCTTGAAAATTTTGAATAGAATGAACAGCTTGGATGGTTCCATTGATCAATAAACTCTATTACACAATATTTCGGTACGGATTGAAATAACCAGACAGTCTCAAATTTTACATTATAGGATAATTTCATGCATTTATATTAGTCAAAGTAATCTTCAATATCAATTTCAGGGTTAAGCAAAATATCTTTGATGGCACTTAAATCTGTCTGATTCAAAATTAAGTTTTCAAAGGTCTCCTCTAGATCTGTTTCACCAATAAGAACAGCTCCACACATTTTGTCTTCATGCAAAACAACTTTCACATACTCGTCACCCTTTGCACATCTCAGAAGTAGCTCATAATCATTTCCCAGTCCTTGGGCATTAAATTTTCCTAGCAAAACAACTTTATATCCAAAAAACTGAGTTACATGAGTAAACAATTCAAAACAGAAGTCCAAAGGTATTTTTTCATTTGAAAAATGAGCTGCAATACACTTTGCTGCAAACATTCCCATTTGCCGTGCCTGGCTCCACAATCTCATTTGCAACCAGTGAGGTGCAGGATCCCATCCAAAGGTGCAAACATCCCCAGCAGCATAAATGTCTACAAGATTAGTTTGCATATTTGAGTTCACCAATAGACCACCATCCTCTGCTGTGTCAAATGGAGCACATGATACAAATGATTGTGTGTTTGGAACGACACCTGTTGCTGATACTATGAAGTCACAGCCATATATTTTTCCATTTGAAAGTTGGATATACACTGGCCAATCAGCAGAATCTAATAAACTTTCGTTTAATGATGGAAAGGGTGACTCTTTCTCACCACACCTTTTTAATTCTTCAGGGTTAAGTAGTTGTTTAAATTCACATTTGTATTCCACATGAACCTGTCTGTAACCTTTCTCTTTGCTGCTGGCACCACAGAGAGAGAAGTCTGAACACCAGTCAGGTCCCAAAGCTCCACCACTCAAAGTGTTGGAGGGATTTCCATGATAACAGGCTTCTGACAAAAATTAAGTAAACCAAAGCAAGCAATACCAGTAAATAAAAAACCCCATATAAAAGAAGCCTAATTAAATCTCAGTTCCAGCAAGGATAAATAATTTCTTGTAACAAATCAGCATTACAAAAATGCCTTTTTTTAGTATTTCAATAAATTCCTGCAACCTTAACCTTTATTCAGTTTAACACTTTAAGGTGTTTTCGTCAAAGAAAACTGGGCAGGGGTTAGAGGCTGTCACTAGTTATTACCCACATGTTTCCACAATACAAACACTGCATGTATCTACATGATTAACAACAGTGATATTGGCATGCACCACATTTCCCTGAATAAGCCCCTAGGCCTTATCTAAAATTTTAGCTGAAAAGGAGGGGCACTTGCACTGTATTGCAGCGTTGTTTAATTGAGGGGGGTGCTTCATATTTAAAAGGGGTAAGTTTCTAAAGAAACTGGTGCTGCATCAGTGGGGGAGTATAACAAGATAATTTGGTTTTATCAACTGAGTTAATGTAAATTGGCCAGTGTAAAGAGTTTTAAAGCTGATGTTTCGAGAGTTAGCCCTTCAACAGACAAAGAAGCTCAGTTGATAAAACCAAATTATCTCGCTTATTACTAGTTGAAGCTTAAAAAGTTATAAATATAGTGGCAATAGAAACAGGTTTTCCTTGAATCCCTACTGTTTAAGAAAGTGAGGGAGGATGGGTGATGCTTGTTTGACACTATGGCCCTGGGGATGGGTGTTTATTTGGGAGGGGATGCTTATTGGGGCATGGGTGCTTAATCTAGGAAATACTGGTACACTATGTCAATACACCACAAACTTGGGTCTTTGTGGGTCCCTGGATTAAGTGAAATTTCAGTAAGCTTTGGAAAAGACAAAAATACTAACCATGCTTATTATTCTCAACAGTCTCTATACCATACTTCATTCTCTTCACAGTATGCGTCATAAACTTCTTTTTTTCTTTCCAAACTTGTTGGTTGGATTCAATGTGGGGAAGAAAGAAAGTGGCTGCTCCCTCATCAAAGAATGCATTTCCGATGGTTTTATCTTTAATGGCCCACAATATCTGGCAATCATACATCTCATACCTATGAAGAGAAATGTGCTTTATGTTGCAGTGATGTAATTTGAAATAATCAGAATCACTAATTCACCTTAAACTGGATCATTTCCACACTTCAAAAACCAAAGCAACACAGTAAACACTTGAAATGTTTTCCCACACATTACCCTACAAAAAAAGTGGTGATGCTGATTATATGTGGCCTAGTTTTATTCCAATTTTATTCTTTCAATCAAGTCTGGACAAAAACGGGGGAATTACTTCAACTAAACTAAATACATATGTTAACAATCATAGACCAGCTTGTTTTTTTTAACAGGTTGTACTTGCCAAAATGTGGGTTACAGCAAGAAGTTTGTATGTTGATGGATCTATATCATGATCTTGTCTAAGAAAAAACATGTTTTGTCTTGAGAAAAATTCAGGGAATGACAGGGCTCTGCTGTGAAAATCTACAAATCTGACAGCCACATTTTGTTGACCACCTTTAAAGAGCTCCTTCTTGAATTTGCTGGGGAGAAATAATTTTGGTGAGGAAAAACTTATAGAATGCAAAGTTCCACTGGGATGAAACGTCTATAAGCCACTGGAAAGAGAAGAGAGATTGAATGCAAAACTCAGTACTTGAAGCTAACTAACAATGACGAAAACTTAAAAATTATGAGGATGACTCATGAGTAATAATTATACATTAATTTCAAAGCCAAAAGAGTAAAATTGTAGATCTTTCAACTAACTTACACAAGTTCTAAAGCTATTCCCCCATTTCCAACAATAGCTACTCGACGAGCCTGAGAAAGCTTACTCTTTAACTGTAATACACTCTCTGTATCTCTAATGCCAATAACACAAGGATGTCTGGTGATGAGGTTGGGTGTTCCTCCTGTACAGATGCACAGCTTCTTGTAGTAATACTTGTTACCACTCTCTGTTATAATACTGTGCTCTAAAGTTAATAAATACAATCAGAAATAAAATAAATTTTAACAGCATAGCAATTTGAGCTGAAATTAGTAACACTTCAATGAAATGTTTATATAGAGTACCTACAAAAAGTCTCATTTCAAAAGGACAAAAAAAGGGAATCTTTCTCTTTTTTGACAAACTCTCTATCACAGATCCCAATGAGTGTAAAGTCAATCTTGTTAGTTTTAGGCTATGTTAACTGAGCGTATTTTCATTGAGTAAAAACTGTTAGATCATTAAACAACGGAGTTCATTCAACCTGACACATTAACATGCAAGTCATAAATGAAGGGATTTGATAGAGTGTGCATTTTATTCAATTAGTCAATTAAACAAGGATTGACCTAAAATGACTTAAAATGATCTAAAATGACATAAAATGACCTTGAGTGATTTCTAAAATGACACAAAATAACCTAATACAACCCTGAGTTATGTGGACAATGCAGTGTCAACAAAATCTAGATTGGACCAGACAGGATTGGATTTCATTGTTCATTTCCATTTGCAGATTTTACCTGGTTTAGCATTTGGTTTTTGGGTTTCGTCAAAAATTCAGATGGTTTTTCAAAATTTTTTCTAGTTTGTCTTTGATCTGAGCAGCAATTAGGAGGTCACACATCTCAAATAGCACCCAAGACTTGAGTTTGCAATGTGGAGTACTAAGGTCAACCAATTTGCGAACTACAGCTTCAAACGTGCCTCATGCGCCAGCAATAGAGGAAGCCCGAGGACCTCAAGAAGCAACTGTGGATTGGATCATGTTTTTCTTACCTTAATGATAAAATGATACATACCTCTTGCTTGCCTTCATCCATGGTGGCACTACACAACACTCCACAACACAGCTGTGAAAGTGACTAAATGGGGGTTTTGGGTGAAAAAAAACTCCCAGAGGGGCCTACACTCTATTTTGTCACACAGAATTTATTTTGACTTGTCACGCAAAAAAACTAATTTTATTTTACATGATCTAATCCATGATCCAAGATCAGATCTATGATCTGGTCCGTGATCTGATTCATGATCTAGTCTGAGATCTGATCCATGATCCAATCCCGTCCAATCCAGTCCGATTCAGATTTTGTCAGCACCGCAAAGTCAAGGTCATTTTAGGTCGTTTTGGGACATTTTAGAGGTCCCTAAAGGTCATTTTTAGTCGTTTTAGGTCATTTAGGGTCATTCCTTGTTTTAGTAACTGAAAGCCGCGTTTTATCCTATCACCTCAAAATTCAAACTAACAGGGAAACCCACGTGTAAACGAACAGCAAACTTGTTCTATTACTTGGTCTTCCTTAATTAATGTTAAGGATAGAAATAGAGCTGTTTAAAAATTACATGTGGCTGGGACTGAAACGTTAAATTAAGTACACGTTTTACTGTAATGCACATAGACGGTAGATATATTTTCTAATATCACCTTACATACGTACCTTGAGGGTGAACACCAACGACAACTGACTGTATGCTTACAACATTAGGACTCTGTTCAAACAGTAAAGAAGCTGATCTCTCCTCCACATCGAATTCCTCTAGTGTTCTGCCGAACTTCTTAAGGTTGCAAGTCGCTTTGACTATATCTGTAGCTGTTATAAGAGCGATTGTTTCTTCTGAACATAACGATGACAAGTATTCTACACATGACACTCCAGAGATGCCTCCTCCAATAATCACAAAGGTAAACTCTTTCCTTGTGTCGCAGGAGGCCATTCGTAAACCCGAGAAGAGATGAAGAGAATGATACTTTATGTAAGACTATTTGGGTTACTGACGAGAAAGTCTGGGCCTGAGTGAAAAAGAACTGAAGCTTCGTGAGAGTCATGGGAATCATTTTGTTCTCAAACAGAAATCATATAAACATCACTTGGGCGAATTTGTTTTACAAAAATCTAGGCAAGAATACATAGTTCGTTTTAATTAGTGGAATGACTTCACTGAAAGGTTTCCTTCCTCCAGCCGGGAGTGCTTTATGGAGAAAGGATCGTGGACGACTGAGGTCTGAAAGCGAAAGTGACTCGTCTCCTTCAATCAAACATGTCGTCATTAGGGAAGTATGGCAAAGAACACATCCCTCACCTCATGCACTGTACAAAATCGATGTAATGACTAAGTCCAATCACTGGTTCGTGTTTCGGAGGTACAGAGAATTTGATGAACTCCACAAAAAACTGGTAAAACTTTACGGCATCCCTAAGGATATGTTACCACCGAAAAAGCTTATATCAAATATGGCATTGTCGGTTCTTGAGAAGAGGAAAGCAGCATTAGAACATTACCTGCAGCGACTAGTGAACAGTAGTACCTACGTGTCGAGTTCTCCTGAAATTGTTGAGTTCTTAGAGGTCCAAAGGCACGATGTCATGGCCGTGACAAATGCCCTAGCGAAGGATTTGTCTCAAAGGGGTGAGGAAGTGTTGGCCAAGGGAGAAAGTTTCACTTTTGTACCTACTCAGCTTTACTGTTTAACGCGGCAGCTAAAGTTACCGAAACCGACTAATGCAGTGGACGAGGCAGATTCTGGAGATCTAGGAAATCTATATGATTTTATATATCAGCTGAAATCACTGTGTGTTAGTAGTATTTTGAACAAGGCTACAAGTTCACAAGAGCTTTCTAGTCATCTGGAATTTGATATTTCCTTGTTTAGGTCTCTAAGCAGTCTGATAATTGATGGCTGCCCATTGACACTTATAAACAATATGTCAAAAGTTCAAGCACAGATTACAAATCTGACAACCAGATACTGTTTGACCACCTTAAAAGAGCTCCTTGTAGACTGTGCCACTGAGAAGCGTCTAGCACCCAAAATAAAAGGTCCTGCAGAGTCATGGAGAAGTGTTACAACAGCAAGGTTGATGCAAAACCGAATAGTTGTTCAACCATGGTGTCAGCTTACGACTCTCACTGTAACACACAACAAACTGGCAGCATTGGATGCCTCTCTTAAACTCTTGCCTGTCTTACAAAATCTAGATGTCAGCTATAACGAATTTGTTCATTTGGATGTACAACAGTTATGTTGCCCAAGTCTTGTATATCTGAATATGTCTCACAACAATATCCACTTCATCACAGGAATGCCAAGAGAACTGTCAAACCTCAAGTCACTTGATATCAGCTACAACAATCTTGAGACAGTCAATGGATTAGACTGTCTCATTGGACTCATTGAATTGAATCTGAGTCACAATCAAATCCATGTTGTGAGGGAAATTTCTAAGTTATGTTTGATTTCCCATCTGAAGTACCTGACAGTTGCTGGAAACCCTTTTACGAGAGTGAAGCCCTACAGGATTGTTGTCCTGTCTTACTTTAAAGGTAAGAAGCTGATCCTCGACAAGAGACCCATCACACAGAAGGAAACTGCCAAACTCAACTCATACCCTATCAAGTCACGTGCAAGTAGCAGTCCTGAAAATCTCCAGGGTGATAGTAACCTGAGCGAAGATGTGCCTTATGGGCGATCCCACAGCTTCAATGTGTTTTGCCTTCCTGAAAGTGATGACGATTCTGGTATAGAAGGAGCCCCAAGCCTCAGGAGCAACAGTGTGATTTTTGATCCAGATGAAAGTGAGTTTACTGGCAGAGACCTTCTTTTTAATTGGGAATACTACAGTGGGGAAGATAGATATCTGAGCAGCAAAATCCAACAGCTTTCATGCAAGCCCTCTGAAGCAGAGCAAGTGGAAACAGGTCCTTCTAATCATTGCTACACTGATCCAAAGAAGACAGAAAATGTTAACTGGCATGACATTGAAGTTTTGCCAAATGATCATGATTCTAACAAACCAGCAGTGTCTCAAGTATCAGAGAAAACCAAAGTAAAGAATTCTACTTCCTTTCCTTCCCAAGAAGCTGATTATTCAGATGAGCAATTTGAATACAAAGAGGAACTTTTCCAAAATTCATTAAAAGTTCCTGATGGGAATGACTTTTGTTTGTTACAGGAAGATTTAAACAAGTCTTTGTCAGCAGGAGAGGAAAGTTCACAGACTGAGGGAAAAACTCAACCCTCCTAGGCTAACACACATTGTTGAGAGCAATCAGTAAATCATTACAAGCCAATAATACAGAGAGATCAGATTGATTGTGGACTTAACTATCTTGCCAAAGCAATGAATCCTCCAAATGGTGATAGTGACAATAATCAGTAGGAAATTTAGTTTGAAACACTTAAGAAGAAGAAGAACCTCTGTTAAGGTAATAATTCATTCCTTCAAGTTTACAGTAACTACTAGGTAAGACTTATGAGAATGTTATACTATGATAATGCATATTGGCCATTGACAAATTTATGACATAAAGCTGACAGCATAAAAACCTCAAAATGAGTCAGAGATGCAGTTTACCCTTTGTATTATTGAAATAAAAAAATTAAATAATTTATTGCATATTGATATAAATGTATTCTGAAATGAAATGTGTATTTAAGACTTATTTAACACTTTAAGACCAAATTTTTGTGCATATATTAGTTTAAATTCAGTCTCTGTTCGTAGCTATTATATTTACCTTATTAGATGTTTTGGTGTGTAGTATTGCTGAGTATTTTTATGAGCTGTGCCATAATAACCAACAACATTCAAATATCACGTCTTAGTTTATACCACACAGGTGAATAGTGCCTTTCATGTACACTGATTGTGCATGTTAATTACTATTTACCTTTGAATTGCTGATGAGACAAAATCATGAGTCAAGAGTTTAATTACCATTTTTTTTGGTATATTGAAAGAAAGAAAGTAAAGTGGTATGTAATAAAATAATTTTTCACCTCGTTGTTGTCAAAAGTGGTGGAGATTTATCTAGCTGCAAAATGGTATGCAAAATGTCCACCACTTTGGTAAATATCCTCCACTTCAGTGAATAGTTGTGTCTCATTCTACTCTATATGCGGGTTATTTATTTCTACTTGGTGAAGTTGAATAATAAATATAGTCATTATATGTGATATTCAGAAAGTTATTCAAAGGTTTTATCTCCTTAAAAGTGCATTGCAAATAGCCTTTGTACAGCCACCTCCTACTCTCCTTCACAATTTTTTTATTTTGGAGGATGGGGGCGACAGTACATAGGCTAATTACAAAGGATGCATGTACTGTAAGAGGTGCTGCCCCAGTGTACTTAGACAGGTCAACTGGGTTCATTTTAGGCCCTTGATGAAAAAAAAATAGCCCGTAAAAATGATCAGGAGAGTGTCAAATATATTCCCCAATTTTGTTAGCTTTCCTCTCACAGCTTGGTTCATTTTTTTCTCGATTTCCCATTCAACGCTTCAAAGCACATACAAAATTGCTTTGTGTACAGGAAGGCTTCTGTGCAATGTGCCTTTGTCATTATGAATTTACCCAGGACACTATTTCAGTATTTTCAGTAATTGTTCAGTTTTTATTGAATTTGATGACGACAACCATCACCTAGAACCACATGGATGCACGCCAATGCAATATTGAAATCGTCCGCCCACCCCTTATACTAATGGCTCAGGTGGCTGTTGATCTTTTGGCGCGTTCCGCCCTTTCTCCCTTTTGCAGACTACGGGAATGAATTAAAGACTGTCCGACTGGAAGTTTAATTATGACGTTCATCAACCCAAGTATGGAAAGGTAAACTGTTTGTCACAGGAAGAGAAAAGATAAAGCGTTGTTTATTTCAAATAGTAAAGTGTTCCTTCTCTTCTCATATTAACTTAAAGACTTTTTCTTCACAATGGTTTAACATGAGCCCAAGTCTGTCTGACACCATAAGTTTTAATTTCTAGTTCTTGAGTGTAACATATAAGTTGACTGACATTCCATTTTTGACAGAATTTCTTCCATGAACCTTGGGTTCAATAATCCCTTTTTTTGCCTTTTTTGCTTATTTCCCTTGGTTTCTATAAATTAGACACGAGATAATTGACAAACCGCAAGTACTAAGGATCTTACATGCGTGATGTTGGAAGAGCTGTGAGTGGCAGTGATGCTCGTGCCCTGGCTTAGTACGAGGTGATTAGGAACCCACTTTTTTTAAAGCTGAAAGTAATACGTGCTAGATAATAAACTGACTGAATTTGGTCAGGCTTGGGCCATCATAGATCGTGTTATTAAAAGTAACATAGTTTGACATTGCAGAATTGAAAAGAGACTTGAAATAAAATCAATCTTAGAGACAAAGCAAGTCAAACCTCTGATAATAGTCCCTTCTAAAACTGAAAATATGCTCATTATGCTTGCAGTGATACTTTTATTTAAAGTGCAAAAATTGAGCTCGTTTTTCCAAATTATGCTAAAAATTATGCCAGCACAATCTAAAAGGGCCTAGTCGGGCCAAACGTGAAAATATTTGGCCTCGCCGTCAATAGGCAGGAACCGCACTGCCTTCAATCCATACATGACCGTAAGCCGAACATTTTGTCATCCGGCCCTCCCACTCAGTCTATAAGTAATTATTCCGCCCCTTTTAGTGCCATCGCGTAAAGCCCTTAAAAGGGTCCTTTGATTCAATAAAATACATACTTTACTTTATTTACATACATACTTTATTTATTCTAGAAGCAAACTATATATACTAATTAAAAACTAAGGAAAAAAGGTACTTCTAGAAAAGGAAGTTTGGAGGTTAACCCTACGTAAAAACTCCCTTAAAATAAAATAAATAAGTAAATAAAAATTAAATAAAAATCAAGATCTATACAGTTAAATATTGAGATACAATTTAAGTTTAGATTTAAAATGCTGAAAGCTATCAGCTTCCACTATATCACCCGGTAAGGTACCAGCGTAAAACTGCTTTTCTAATCATCTTTTTAAATGGTTTGTCTCTGATTAACTGTGGAATACTATTCCAAAAGAATCTTCCGATAACGCTCGGGCAGAATCTCTTGAGATAAGTTCGAAATGAGGGTATGACCGTAGACAGCTGGCAAATGATTGTTAATTTCACACAACAAATTGTCAAGATCACTTCCAGAAGCTGTTAAAGATGTAACGTCTGCATATAATCCAGTAGGAAAGCACCTGCTGCTTCCTGTTGTTTAAGTAAGATTGGAGCTTATTATTTTCGCTTTGTTGTAATTCGGCCGTAATACTTAAATTTATTTAATAATATTTGATGATTTACTGTGTCGAAGGCTTTACCTAGGTCTAAGAATAAAGAAAGCACTTAGTGTTCTTGATCAAGAGGAGAAGTAATTTCTTCAATAATATTAATTAGACAGTCAGAGGTTGTATAACCTGATCTAAATCCATATTGTTTTGAGGAAATAATGTTTTCATTCGTAAGATAGGACATAAGCTGATTAAAAATACATCTCTCAAATATTTTTACTTGTGGATGAGAGAACTGAAAAAGGAAGATACTTGTTACATGTATAACGAGAGCCTGCTTTGAAAACTGGAACAACTTTTGCCAGTTTCATACTACCTGGAAAAATACCTTGGTTGTTAGAAAGATTAAAAATATAAGTTAAAGGACGGCATATTTTCGGTGCTGCGGTTTTTAATAAAAGTGGATGAGTCTTGTCAATCCCAAATGATTTCTTCGTATCAAGACTTTGTAGCAATAGAAATACCTGTATTGCAGACACATGTGAGAAGCAAAATGTTTTTTGTTTCTGGGAAAGATAAGATGTTGCACTCCTATCAGTTAATGTAAGAGGGACATTACAGAAAAATTTATTGAGGCAGTTGGAGATGGTAAAAGGTTGTTCGCATTCATTTTATTTTCTACTTGTAGCTTTTCTATATGAGAACTTGGCCGCTTATTATTTATCAATAAATTAATATTGTCCACATCTTTTTTTTTTATGTTGTCTGATTTGGTTAAGATGTCATTGTAAAAGCCGTCTCGATATATCCTATTAATGGAGGCAATTTTATCTCAACATCGTGATTCTTCATCTCTAGCTTGTACACTGTTATCTCGTCAACGACCTTTGCTCTTGAGCTCAATACGTGGAATCCATATCACAGGGATGATAACATAGATCACTTAAGTGAAATATTTCCGGTTTTGCAATTCATCAAAGCAGATCGAATTGTTTTTATTTGATTTTCTATTCTTTGATTGTGGCATCATTTTCTTAGCTTTGACTTAACTGAACTGAATCAGAAGTCTTCAAAGTTTTAGTATGCTACATGACAAAGCTTTCTCATTTGAAAAGAACTGAGCGGAAAAAGTTCGGCATGATGTACAAAATTCATGAACTATGTTGTTGACTGAATTATGCGCGCTCTGTATATTGATAATGGTGATATTTGACCGTTTGCATTGCATCGTTCGCATCTCTGTGTTGGCATCGATTACTCTCAGAAGTATCCCGTCCATTTTGATAATCGATGGAGCAGGTTGATAAGTGGTGCATGGAATCGTCATGCGCTGTAACGTTTCTTCGCGGTGGACTTCCCTCGACAAGCACGCGAATTCTTACTTTGAACGGGCGAGAGATCATGTAATTAGGGGCCTTGAGAGCTCTTAAAATCCTTAATTTTTTAACCTTGGTAATTAGTTTTATCATTGTTGAATTGTATATATTGTAATTTCTTTGTTAACTTGTCGATGACAACAATAATCATTGAGTTAAGCTAATGTTTGGGGTCATTTTGCCATATTTGAATTATTTATCTTCAGGAGCTGTATAATTAGCATCTTCTTGGCTAATCCCTTAACCAAGGTTTGGAAAGTACATGGAAAAAGGAAAATAAAATTTATCTCATAACGGCTATTTCATATGAATTCAATTTGTAGTCAGGCATCTAAGGTGTCAGAATGCGCTTAAGTCTTACACACAAAAAACGATTAACTTATCAAAGGAGCAAATTCGTGCCCTTGAGGTATCTAACATTTACTAATATTTGTTTAAAGAGTCATGCTTAAAATAGACTGTCAACACTATATTTGCTTTGTTCTTCGCCAAAGTGTTCAAAACAGATTTCGCTCACGATACCACTATCTCCAGACCTTGAAAAATTAACGCTATACCAAATGTAACGTTGAATAGGAGGGAACTTCATCTTTGGGGTGGCTTCTACCAATGTGGACAAATGTGGCTTCAAAAAAAATTAGTTTGCGTTTTATTCGATGTCAGCATAGAAAAATCTTAGGAATGCCAACTCTTTGTGAATAATTAAGATTTAATTTTCGTCCAGAAAAGTCTTATAGCTTATGCTGAACGGAATGTGTGAACAGAGTCGAAAATAACCTACTGATAAGTTAGAAGGAGTGAGCACGAATTTCGTGGAGTATGATAAATAAAGGGGTCGTTTTCTCTTCTGGTTGGTTTCCAAGATGGGTGCCGTTGTAGTCTTTTTATTTATTCGCTTTTAAAAACAGTAAAATCAAGTCAAAATTTCGAGAGTTTTCCAAGCCTTTTCAAGGTAACATGTTATACTGTATCTTGTGGAATTTCGCCTAACTGAGCAGGACAAAGTCGTTGGATGTTTTCCATTTTTAGTTTTTGTTGTGGTTATGTGGCGGCAATGAATTCTGTATTGATCCGTCCAACAGTAAACCACATTTTGATATTCAATAATCCAATGGTGAGTTTCGTACATCCATACCAGAATAAACGCTCGAGCTGCTGAGAGGCGTTTAAAAGCACTACCATTATGGTCATACAGTAAAATTTAACACTACTACACAGCAGAGTGATTGTTTACAATTTTGTTATTGTTTGGAAGAGTAAACTGTCTAAAAAATTACTTGCTTCTAATGAGAATGAAAATCTTGCCAAAACAAATCCAAAGGTTTCCTTCGTTATATATTTTCATGCCACTCGTAAAAAACATTTTGATGTTATCTCTGAGAGGCGATTGGGGTTTCTGAATGTTTTCAGTGCAATAAGTCCCTGCAGGTGGTTTACAAACAATTCCAACGCTTAATCACGTTTACAATATACGATCAACGTGCACTTTTTTTTTTTGGATATTTAGTTTGAAATTTCTAGCTTTCCTCTTTTTCATAACGAATTATTGCGCAATTGGTGGTTGTTTACCTCGGATTCTAATATTAAGAAAACCTACTTACGCTTCACATTAGTCTCGTAAGCATGCAACATCGGGAAATATTCCAAACATTCAACAATTAATTTTATTGTAAGAAAAAGTCAGCGAAGCAGTAACACCCATCAACCAATGAACTGTCAGTGTAGCTCTTTAATTGACATCTTCAATCAACTCATTTGAATCGGCTTTTCTACTCATAAATAGTTTGCATCTCAAGGGACTTCAGACGATTATTTTGGCGTACGCTCCGATGGTGGACAAACTTGAAACGGGGATCGCAAATTTAATGGCGCAAGTTTGTTAATCTCTCAAAAAAAAAAACAGCATGGTTATTAAAAGCACTCTGTTAGTGTGCTTGATCATCTGTTGCCAAAGTAGTCATGTTAGAGCTGCGTCAGAGTGTACGGGCGCTATAGTCGCTTCAGTGTTTGGTACAATAGGTGTGATTCTTCTTATCGCAGGTATTGCGATACTGGTTTGGTGTTGTCGCCAAAAAAGATCAGGTAATGATAGTTTATTTGCCTAGATGTTAACTTGTTTCAGTTTATTCTATTGAATTTCTATTTCAAAGGGCGCTGCTCACATTTGAGTTCTTTTGCTGCAGGAAAACTCTCGTCAAGGTCTTCAATAGAAACCGCCAGTGAACCAGAAATTTCTCTCGGCACAAAAGCCAAAGGTGGTCAGATTGGTTTAAATGGTCATGGAACTCCGGTAACTTTTTCACATCACTACAAAGAAGAAGCACCATCTGCTGGTAAGAAAAATGGGAATAGTGGATACAATCCTGTCCGTGCCATTTCAGTTTATATCGAATCATCTGCATACTTAAAATTGCTATGATACACGTCCAAACTTGTCAGTTTTCTCTTTCTAGTTTAAGAGTGCCTCTTAAGGTTAAGCTCGAGTTTTAGCTGCTTGCAACAGTCGTGTATTTCGAAGAAAGTAAGGCATAGCTATTTTATCATTATTACTATTATCATTATTATTATTATTATTATTATTATTATCATCATCATTTTTGTCGTGATTTAGGCATAAGTATGCCTTGTATTGGCTTTCATACTCGTGAATTCACTGAGGTGATTGTCTACAGCACTTTTCAAACGATAAAATGATCATTTTTTAATCACTGCATCAACTACGTTCACAATCACGTTTTTCAACTGAGTGAAGTTCCTTTAGTAAGAAGTTGACAATGTTACAAAAGACGGTGACTGAATATTTCAGATGCTCGATGAGAGTATGACAGCGAAGAATATTTTCTCTGTGCAGCACTGAAGCATGTCGAAATTGGAGCTGTGCTTTAACCCAGTTCGTTCTATTTCAGAACTTATAAGTTACCAACCGTTCAATTGAAACCTTGGCACTCTGCAACTAGGATGTCTTTGTGTTAAAATGTCTTTCCTTGTTTCAACAACAAACCCTCACCTACGTCGTCACCGAAGTGTTCATTGTCCTTTAGCTCATTTCCATAAATGTCATTATCTTTTTCGAGATTACTCGAGCACTGAAAGTTTGAAGAATCTAGAAAGCCCTCGCTCTATGGCTTGTTATTACACTGATTGATCATGTCACGTATATAACAAACGCTTGGAGAACGCTATTTAAAAAAAATACTAAGTTATAAGAGTTTTGTACATATTTGCTCATGATTTTCGACTTTTTGAGGAAAGAATAGTCATTACATCGCTTGGCGGTGGATATTTGTATATTGTTGGTTGCCCAGAGTTTCATAGAAGGTGACAGAAGTTTACAGATACATCGAAAACGTCTTGCACACCGCATGACAGTCATTCTTTGCGCATTGCGTCAGTTTAAATTGCATAGATACAGATTGATCTGGAGATTTCAGGGATGAGACCTTCTTAATGTGGAGCTTACAAAACTTTAAATTACCTAACCTAACACACAAAGTCATCCAAAAGAAAGAGGTCAAAAGGAATGAAAAGTATCTCCTGAATAATCCAGACGCAACCTCATCCTCCGACATTCAATCGCATGAGATTTAGGAACACCCATCGGCAAAAATACACAACAGCCTAAGCCACGACATATTCAGAACAATACTATAACTTAATAAAATCGCTGCAACATTTTTCCATCTCCCGTCTGTTTCAATGGAAAATTTTTTCTATTGTTCGATGCTTTGTTTCTTTTGAAATTGGTTCCACTCGGTGAGCTTCAGGAGTCTTTTAATTTTGTTGACACTCGCTGTTTTTGTGGTCAGGATTCAAATTTAACATTTCTTTATAAGTGTCTATTTAGCACCCAGGTCGGAGAGATCTGTAGTGAAATTGAAGCTTCTCTCCGACGATTATCTGCGTTATTTGTGTAAAATGAAATAGCCGCATGACCATGTAATAAGTGGAACTGTAATTATTGGTTTGTGCCCTACGTTATTAGATACACTATTTAAACAAATAAGACTGGTTTTTTTTCGGTAGTAGTGTTTTTCTTGGAAAGTAATGCATCTTGTGTGAATAATAGATTGATTGCATTAGGAAGGTTTATAATGTTTAATCTTATTTAAATATGCTTCAGATTTGTCTCAATTTGTGTGACGTAGTTTCTTTCTGAACGTTGATGTTCCTTTTTTATTTGACAACTACTTCGCTCGTCTACATTCGGCAATGATCCTTTAAATTTTGGCTAATGGCTAAATAACCTACGATTGTGATTTTGTTTGTTTGTTTGCTTGTTTGTTTCGAACAGCGTACAACACAAGGGGAGTTGTTAATCCAGCATTTGGTGGGCAGCGAGAAGTACTGATTGAAATGCCATCTAGAGACGATGGCGAAGTCAAAATTGACATGGATGGAGATGGTAAATTCAAACTTCCTTCTTGTAACGAAGGGGAGGTAAAAATTGATATGGGCGGAGATCCAGACAAGGAAACTCCTACTGTAAATCTTGACATGGACACCGATCTTGGCATGAATGTGGCAAATGGAAGCAGCCTCAAAATGTCTCCAAGAGATGCTCAGCTCTCGGATGTTGAGTTCCAACATAACAAACCATCAGGAACAGGTTTTCCGGGCGGGAATATTCCTGGTTCAGACGTTGATATTGCCTTTGAGGGCTCCTCCAAACCAACCTTTAACGTGGACACACCAAGGAATATGGTTAGCGATGTTCTTTAAGTTTTGAATTAAGTCAATATCAGTTTCTACGTATTTGACCGCACTCCTCAAGATTCAATTCTTCTGTTTCGTTAATGTAGAGCCATAGCTATACTTGCAATACGAAGGCGGTATTTCCACAGCAAAGTTAACTTAACTCGGGGCTATAGTTATAAGTCACTTTGCAGAGAAAAATTATCGCCTAAAATGTTTTACTTTCTTTTTTCCTTATGGTTAAATAAAACCACACAAAACGTCTGTAGCATAGGAGTTTTGAAAAAAAATAAATATAAGCAGTCTCACTCTTTCATCCAATATTTAGCACTTTCCGCCTTTCGAACATCTTAGCCCGTATTTTCAGTTACCGAAAAAACTAGAAAAAAATAGATAGGAATAAAATTGATCAGAGCGCTTTTGCTTATTCAATAAATACTTCAAGTCTAGTCTATTGTGAGCATAAAATGACCTGCATTATCCAAGATAGATCTCTCACCCTTATAAGAGCCAAATGCTGTCGCTCTTATATAATAGTTGAATAATGTACTTGCTAATTGCTATTATCAACATTTGTCAACATCATTATAATTTTTATTGCCGTTGTCATTATCATTATTAATGTTATAAGCATTACCGGTATAAATGACTCTCTTTCCTGAGAAACACACATCAGCTTTAATCTTCACCCCCAAAAAGACTTTTTTATATATATCTCTTGCTTATCCGTCGTTTTCGACAGGAAACCATTGATGTTGATCTCGACCGACCTGAAAGTGGTGGCTTTGGACTCTTGATTGCGAGGGACAAGACTTTGCCACCTCCCGCTTTATTCGTAAGAGAAGTAACACCCGGTGGTGTTGCTGCGAGAACAGGTCTCCTGGATAAAGGTAACGACACTGTACGTTATATTTACGTATGTTACACAAGGATGATCGTAAACATTTCACCTCAGAAATTTTACGCGGTAACAGAGCGACACCATAATTGACGAATTTTAATTCATGGTGAACATGGCAATTTCTCGCCAAAAAAAAAAACCTGAAACATCTTCAGAGACCTCGCTACAATTTGAAAAGATATTCTTTTTTTCAAATTTGTTTGATATGATAAATTGTCATAATTCAAGGTACTCTATTTTGAAGATTTTATTCGCAAAACACGTAGTACTTAATGAAAACTAACTAGAAAGCAGACCAAAAGTCATCAATATTCTTCCAGAAAAGGACATCCTTCTAATTTGTTATCTCCAAGGTGATAAGATCATTGGTATTAATGGAACTCCGATCGAGGGCCTAGCTCATGACAAAGCAATGCACCTTCTTCGCAATGATGACAAACCAAGGCTAAGACTGACACTGTTGAAAAACCTCTCACCAGGACAAAATGGTAGGTAGTCTGTTTAGCCTCATGGTATTTAAGTTATTCTACGACAGGAATTCGCGAAAAATAGGCGTCGAAAACCAAATTATGCGTGTTAACATTTTCACGTTGACTCTATGCAAGAAGTTGGCATATTATTTGTATTTGAGGATTGAGAATGAATTGAAATGATAAAGCGAAATGATATAGTTTGTAATATAAAGAACTGACACGATTCCATAAAATAGAATGCACCATAATGCCATTATATCTCTTCTCACCGATAGGTTCACTGGACTTATCGGAGAGATCGCGGGATCTATCCAAAACGATTGACGAATCCTGTGCAATTGACTTGGAACCGGGACTAGAGGCAGGGAGCCCCTCCCTTGATGTCGAAGGATTGCAAGGCAGTGCAGATTTAGGAGAGACGGAGACTTCACTGAGTAAACCAGAATTCGAGGGGGATATACCACAGGCGCGTATTGCTGGGCCGAATATGAAACCACACAATCTTCAAGGTTCACCTTCAAACCTGAGCTTGCCTTCACCTAAGACTAAGCGTGCGAAATGTTTCTCCTGTGTATCCAAAGGAGACAAAGGGGAGCCTTACACCAGAGGGAAGACAAGTAATAGAATGGATTGGGACAGACCGAGTGATGATTGTTCTGTTGATATTAATGAGGGTGGTAAATTTACAGATAATTTGAGCGTCAGAGAACCTGGCATTTCTATTCCGGCCAAAAATGTCACGGGAGAAATTACGGGACCATCGCTTGACGAAGAGCAAAGGGATTTAGGATCCAATGTACAGCTAGATAGCTATTCGCCAAATATCAAAACGTCGCAAGGTAGACTAAAAACACAGCTTTCTGGGCCAAGTGTCGATACTTCACCTGAGAAGCTCAAGGGCTCAAAGGAAAATGTTGACGTTCCTGCCGCTGGTGGGTTGAATTT